AACACATTGTTTAAAGACACAGAACAGCATGCTCGTCTTAGGCAAATAGCTTTCCATGCTGTATAGCTGCTGGACCATGCAGGTGACAGGCCTCTGCAGATCTGAGTAAGGCCACCCCACGTCCTTTGAGTCATCCCTTGTCATATGGTGGGTTTCCCTCTGAGCAGATGAGTCAGTGTCACAAGTTCAATTGTGTTTATTCTGGTGTGTCATTTAAGTTTGTACTTGGTAAACTAAATCTGAGAAACCATTACTTGCAAATCAACAATAGGTCAAGGCCAACTTGGGAGATACAGTAGATGCATTTGCATGAATTCTCTGGCACGCTGTTATAAATAGATGAGGGAACTAACTTATGGTAACCATGATTGTATAGTTACAAACTATGCAAAGAAAAGTTTCATCTACCATTCCTGTTTTCAATTTGTTTCCCAGTTACTTTTTTTTTTTCATTTCAAATTCTTACATCTTTCCCTTTTCTATCCCACTGAGATAAAAAAAAAACTTATGGTACACACCAAAAGACACAAGAAAGACTTCTTTGTGTACTGTTGCCACCCACGTCAAAGCTTCTTTCTATTGACTACTTAACCCCAGGAATTACTCCCCAGGAAGCAATATTCCCAGGTCCTCACAGTTCTGTAACTGCACATCACAGAGGCTCGGTATTGAACCCTTAATGCACCAACAGTAAAAGGCTCCAAGGTGTGTTTGTCATATTCTGGCAGAATTGAAATGGGGTGACTACAAGTGTTTCCTTTAAGCTGGGTGTGGTGGCACACACCTAAACCCCAGCACTTGAGAGGCCGAGGCAGGAAGATCGCCTCGAATCTGAGACCAACTTGGGTTATGTAGTGAGACCAATCTGAACTGCATAGTGAGATCTTGTCTCCCAAAAAGGAAAATTAAATTACTTTAGAGGAAACTCATTTGGTGATTTCAGTGACTCAAAGCATTGATAGGTTGTTTTCTTTGATACTCTCTTTAAGTATTTCTTTCTCTACTTCTTTTTTTAAAGAAATTAGATTCTTGGAGGTCAAGGGTGATAAAATCCTTTAATGCATGAACAGACTAAAAACAAGATATCATTAGAAGTGGTTTCACCAGTGACAGAAGACATTCTCCATGAAAACTCCCTTTCCAAGGGGAGAACTTCTGGGTGTGTGTACTTCTCAGGGCTTTCCCAAGAGGTCAGAGATTGAAAAACCAACCGCTCTCTTTACCCCTTACAGTTTTATTCCCATAAATAATCAAGAGACAAGAAAACCAAAGCCAAGCTTTCCAAGTCTTTTAATATAAGTAAGCTCAAAATTCAGGGAAAAATCTTATTCTTTAGTATTTGGTTTGAAAAGTTACTACATGAAAAAAACATGGAAATATCAGAATAAGTAATCTTTATTATGTCATATCTGGTGTCTCCTGCTGGAGATAAAAATATTTAGTAAATTTAGCTTTTTTAGTAAAACCAGTAACTATGGAAAAGTTAGCAGAACATAACTATACACAAAAACCAAATCTCTTTATATAATTAAAAATTTATTGAGTTTCCTGTGCTGTTACAAATGTAACATTGTTTTATACAACATTCATCGAGGAGGCAAGATTCTTATTTTGAGATGACACAGATTAGACAATGGTTTTCAGTGATTAACTTTCATTAGGAAATTTAACTGCAAGCTGTTTTTCTGTAGAAAGTTGCTTTGACATATTATTCCTAACATAAAATTTAATTTTTTCTCTATCTCAAAATGACTATATGCAAACACCTCCTAACAGAAGCAGAGTAATTTCACAGTGTTTTCGCTCTGGAGAAGACACCGACCTAGGTAAAGGAATGGGCTGCTAGACCTCACTAGGAGGACAGGAAGAGTGGATTTCTTTTTAGCCAGACATGTGTGCACCCCTCCGGTCTCAAAAACTACCCTCAGAGACAAGACAAAGCCTGCCAAGGAACTGAGGGTGACAGATCCAGTTTCAAGGAGAAATTTTCGGGTACATGGCTGCTAAGATGGCTTCCACTTTTGTTTCTCTGGCCTCATTTCTGTCTTGTCTTTCAGGTTTCCTCCGCCCTCCCGTTTCTCCCCATATTTCAGCACTGGCACTGAGAGTATAACGATCCATTTTACTTCTCCCTCTACATGGCTAGAGGATTTAAAGTCAAAGTATTTTAAGGCATTTACTGAACGGTCCCTGGTTTACCAGGTTCCTATCCTCACATTCATCATTAGAGTACCAACCTTAAGGGGTAAAGCTTGTTCATGAGTTTTAAAACACACCAGTGTAAGCGCTGCTCCTGGCTACTGTGCATCCAACCCAGAATTCCATTCCAGGGACCCAAACAACTGAACTTGCTTTCAACAAAGTGGGTCCCAGGTCACTGAGCTCTAATGAGATTTGGTTCCTGAACCAGACTGTTACTGACCTGAAGTGTCACTATTAGAACAACAAAGGCTGAGTTTGAGGCAGGGACAAAGAAGGGGGCGTCAGGAAGCTCCCATGTGCTTCCCCATCTATCTGGAAATTCCATGGAACTGGAACACATCAAACAGTGTGCATTCTGGGCCCAGGTTCCAAATCTAGTGACTCAGAATCTTTGGAGGAAAGCTCAGATAAATCCGTATGTAAATAAATTTACAAATAGAATCCATGCCCCACCTAGAATCCTTCCACAGGTCCTGGAGGGGCAAGACTCCTGTTCTCTTCAGAGAACCTACTTTTCATCACCAGATTCCATTTCTCTTTTATTCATTCTTACCTTCTTCACTCACTAGCATTTCATGTTAATCATGATTACCTCTGGAAACTTTTCTTTCAAATAATAGGGCTTGGGACTCAATATAAGAAATCAGCTTCAAGTTCATTGGACTCTGACATTTCCTTTCCATTCCTTTTCCAAAATTAGGTTCAGTAACTTTGTTGGGGTTTTTGAAGATCTAGAAAAAGCAGCCTTTTTTTTTTTTGTACCAGAAATTGAACTCAGGACTTTGCACTTACCAATTATCATACCGCTGATCATATCGTATCATATCCCCAGCCCAGCCATTTTTAACATGCAGGAATTTATTTATTTTGGTACCAGGAACAGAACTCAAGATTTTGCATTTGCCAGGCAAGTGCTGTGCTGCTGAACTATATCCCCAGCCCTATGCAAACATTTTTGAGCGTAGGAAATTTCAAATGTTTGACCACAGTAGGGTGAGTATAGGTAAGAATGGTGTATTACAAATTTCAAAAATCTAGGAGGGAGGGTTTTCAAAATTTTCACCATAAAGACATGATCAATGTTTGAGGAGACAGGTACGTTTAATGTGAGTGAACTAATACACAATACACACCTGTATGGAAACAGCACATGGCAGCCCATTCATGTTTTAATTTTTATGTTTTTATGTGTCAGTTTAAACAGGCTTAATAAAAAGTATGATTCAAAAGTGGGGCCCCTGCAGAGGCTATTTCACAGATCGTCATCATGAAACCATCATCACAAGGGCCATTCTTCCTGCTGCTCGTGTTTGTGTAAGAAATTCTTCCACTACACACCAAAGACAACACTTCCCAGGGCTTCCTGAGCAGCCCGAGTTAGTTAGAACATTTATCTTGGATTAGTGAAGCTTGGAAACTCCCATTACATTAGGTGGTAATTTTGACATGGAAATTCAGTTTTTCTAAGCAAATTAATTTTTTAAAACTGGGCTACCAGAACTAGATCTTATTGGGAGCCTTTTCCTCTTGTAATATATTACTGCTTTATGGCTGACACAGGGGCACTGGCATGGGAAGAGTTGGCAGGCATGTTCATTTATATGCACACAGTCTTCCAGGACAATCTCAGGGCTACAGATGCAAGAAAATATGCAGACTTTCAAAAGTAAAAAAAAAACAAACAAACAAACAAAACAAAGTAGACTTATGTTTATCGTAGGGTGAATGGGGAAAAATGGGACAAGAATATGCAGCTGGGGAAACCCAGGTGGACGATGGATGTGTTTACTACTGTGAGTATGGTGGTGTCACAGTGGAACAAGTCACACTGCTCAAATCCATGACATTTATACCTGCAACTTAAAAATTTAATCCCCAAAGAACTGAGAGGATGGGACTAAGAGCAAGTGGATGCTTAAGACAAAAGAAGTGGCAGTGTTAGCATTATTTGCTGTTTAACAAGTAAGACAGTTGTTCACTCTATGAAAAACAATGTTAGAAGAAACAGATGGGACTCAAAGAGTATTGTATCTTGTTTTATGAAACCTTAACATTCTTCCATCTACAACTGACATGTTTAGGTAGGAGGCATGCTAGAAAGAATAACTGCATAGAACAACACCATTGTTTCTTATCAATTTGGCGATATGGAAATAACTAATAACATGTATTTATGGGGTAATTTTTAACCTATGAAAATTAAGTGTTCAACAGATTAAATGAAGTGGTTTTCAATATTGAACAATTCTGAAACTATAAATAGATACTTTGAAAAAAATGGACCTGTGTATCCTTACCCTTCATTAAGCTAGGATCAGAAGATTTGGAAAAATCAGGTATTGTTTTGGAAAATAAAAAGGACGGACATAATAGATACATGCATTTCTCCACCGGGAAGCTGCCTTAATCATGAAACCTCATTTGCTTAAGATATTGGGCATAATGGTTAATCACAGCAATGTTTAAATAATTCATTCTTTATATCTCAGTTTCAAAGAATTGCGGCTAAATCTTTCTTACAGAATTTGCCACTTTATCTAAAAGAAGAGGCTGTAAGAAAGTCTTATCCTTAAGTAACAAATGTATGCTCTTAAAATTATGTATTAGACAACCTAAACAAAGTCAGTTTCCTTTTAAGAGGATTCATGCAATGTACAGTTTAAAATTATGAATTTTAACAAAATAAATTCAATTAAGACTTAGAAAATCTAATCTTGGTTTGAGATGTAGTATTTTCTTAGTTCTATTGACACATTTTTTTTCATCTTTCCCCTAAAGAACATTTATAGAGCACAAAATAGGTTCATAATGATTTAATTAGATACATTTTATATATCCTGAACATAAGGTCTCCCATAGAAATAAACTAGTATTTTGTACACAAACTTTATTTACTGTGCCACATCGTAATATACTGAGCCAAGTGCAAACATTTATTACATCCCCTGGTGTGTGTGTAGCTCTGCAACCACAAACACTTCATTATCCAGGATGACAGAGAACAAGATTAGGCAAGATGGATAATTAAAATCCACACGGTAGTAACAAAAATGTATTTTTTATGATTCGAAATGCTTCTCAAGCCACAGCTGTAACCGATACTAAGCAGAAACAGATTAATCAGGTTTTCCTCCTTCAGTTCCCTTCCACTGGTCTTGGGACAGAATCTAATAATTGAAAGGCACGGGGCCAGAATAATCAAGAGAGCAAAAGCTTTGGAAAATTGACAAGTTGGCATCCTTGGTATTGAAAAGCCCCTATTTTTTCATACCCAGAAAATTACATTTGGGTCCTTCTCCACAAATATAATTAATATTGAGCATTAAGTGTACCTTAAATGAAATTTATTTTTATAATTGCCGGGTATTATGGAGAAGATATTTTAAAGTAATCCATAAAAAATAATGAATCAAGATATATCATTTATAGGTACAAATTCCCAATGATGAATGCGATCATGATGTATACCTAAAATGTACCAATAAACTTAATTTAAAAAAACAGCAGAATTGAAGAACAGAATTGCACCTTCTGCAGTAGCATCAGAATTAAAATATTTAGTTTTTTGTAGGCTCTCTACGCGCTGGTGTGTGCAATCAATCTGTTCCATCTATAGATAGGGTCACTGCTATTTATTGTCACTTTACCATCTCAAGTGTGAGGAAGGTGCTCATAAATAAGTCATGGGAGAAATATTCAAAAATATCAAGTTCTTCTCTGTCCTACATCATTTTAGGGGAAAAGAAAAGCAAAAAGTGTCCCTGAAATAAAAAGGTTTATACAAAATTCCAAGGAATGTATCAGGTTTCATCAACAGTATGATCTAATACTGTATCCTTTCCTGTTTAGTTCCACTGAGGAAGTCTCATAATTCTATAAGCATCACTGTCAATAAAAAATGAAAAAGAGGGATGACACCATTATACCAATATGCATGTCTGATGGGGAACATTAGTCAATCAGATGTTAAAGGAGTATTACTTAAAACTTAATTGACCTACCAAATGGTAATAATCAGGGTACAGGCACCCTAAAGGGATTCTAAATATGATATAAAGCATAGTGATTTTAATTAATTTGACATTTTTCTCATCCTCATTGAAATCCTAATCAGCGTTACAAGTTAGCTTTGATCAACATTTTGCAGGCTGAATTTACTTACTCCAAGTCCTGTCTACAGCTTTTCATTTTCTCAATCATAATTCTAGGTGCGCGGTTGCTTCCCTGATGGGTCCAGGGTCCTCTTCCAGCTTTCCTGCTGTCTTATCTGTTAGTGCCCTGCGGCCTCCTCTTCCTGTTCTCCACCAACTACACTTCCACTTTGACGGCTTCTTGTATCTATGCTATTTTGAGACTTGGAAAAAATGCAAGTACAGGCTAAAACCACTTTAAATAGTATTTTAAGCTTTACCAATCAAAAGGGAACAGATTTCTGCGAGGAGGTCAACATATTCTAATCAAATTACAATTAAAATTAAATCAGTGTATCTGAGGATGTCAATCAAAGGATGTCAAGATGAATGAACAGGAAAAGTGTCGATGCTCTAGAGAGTTTGGAACCATAATGAAAGCCTCATAAAGATTTAAAACAGGAGTCATAAGATTTGAGAAGCACAGGAAGGTCATTGAAGTGGAATGCTCAGATTTGGTGACGATGGTTTAAAGAATTTATTTGAGAATGAAATTCCATTCTAAACTTACACAACTGTACACATAATGTATGGACCTGTCTGAAAGGGGGGAATGAGCTTCAGGTAACTAAATATTGCTCCATCTAGCGGAAACTTTAGTTTTCCTTTGTATTCTTACCAGCAGGTTTTTGTTTGGTGATGTATTAGCCATTATTAGAAATGCTGCAGTGAGGAGAAATAACACTAAAATCAAGACTTCATAAGTGAATATAAAATATCGATAACCATATTACGAGATTTTAAAGTAACATTTAAATTTAGATGGTAAGAATCTAAGAATAAAAATCTAACTAGCAATAAAATATATGTAATTTTATAATTCTCTAGGAAAATCTCTTTTAAGAGATTTAAAAAAAATACAGGCATTTTTTATAGTTATCTACATGCAGAAACTTAGGAATATCAATGCAAATTTCCTGTGAAAGCTTCTGTATATTATGGAGGAAAACAAATCCTGCAGTATGCAAAACATATTTCTGCCCTCTTCTCAATGGGATGGATGAATTCTTTAGCCTAAGTTTTATTATCTCTGTCCCTAGCAAGATAAGTTCCTAATGTGTAGTCATGTATCATATTGGAATCATTTGATAAAAATAAGAAATATAATTCTGCATAGAACCCATTGTAACAATGCAGGTAAGCTATGAGCATTCTTTTTTTTTTTTTTATCGGTACCAGGGATCGAACTCAGGACTGCCTGCTTGCAAGGCAGGTGCTTAGGCCACTGAGCTAAATCTCCAGCCCCAACTACAAGCATTCTTGATTCTGTTCTCAGTGGAACTGGAATGCTGGCAACGAGGTGGTCGTGGGTGAAAGATGTGTTTACATTGTGCTTCACTCAGAAACAGGGACAGTTTGCAGTCCTAAGCCCACACTGAAATTCCAGATGCTATTTGGCATTTCCATCTAAAGTTTTATCATTGGCGACAAATGTCCAAAGCACACATTTTGCCAAACGAAAGGAGAAAGGTGAGGTGGAAGAGGGAGAGTTGGTTATCTGGGCACAGGACATGAACTTAATGCACAGTGTGAATACAGAGATCTTACTCAGCACACTTTTCCTTGTGCCCTTCGGACATACCATATAATTCACTTATCAACATTAAGCACATGTTGTTCACTTCGTAAATCCATTTGTTAGTCGAATCACTGTTCTGACTGAGAAAGTGAATCATTGCTCTGTTGGAGAAAGTGAATCATGCCATGATTCAAAAGATCTGTCCTTCACATACATCTATGAGCACACATTTAAAAAACGGTTTATTGTACATCTTTGCATTTCTTAAGGCATGAACAATGGCATACAGATGGAACAGGCTCTGGGAAGCATCACGTCTTTCTGACGAGGCCAGCACAACCACATCGAAAACACACTTGAAGTCTGAACTGACCCACTGCTGTGGCCTGGGAGCTCTTCTAAGAGAAGGGGACGTTCCTTCGAGACAGTGGACCGAGCAAGTGGCTTATATGTTGTCTTTAACTCTCTTGATCAGTGTTAAGCACCAGTTACAGTTTGATTTTCTTTACAAACCTTTCAGACTTTGGATTTTATATTCTGTTTGTTTTATCCTTTCCGAGGAGGGTGTGGTTTTTTTTTTTCTTTTTTAATTTAAGGAATTATGGTTGCAGCAAAACAGAAAGGATCCAAAAGTGGTTAGGGGCCATGTCTAATGCACTTTTGAAAGTCCATTATAAAGATGAATAGAAAAGCAAATGGTAGATTTTCAGTCAACCCAGAAACCTCGCGTAGCTATAAGAAACATAATTGTGCATAGTTATTTTATTCATTCAGAGTGTGACAGGTTGGCTAGCTCTACATTCCCAGTTTACCAAAGAACAGGGCTGTCTACTTTGCTAAACCCAGGGTCCTTTCGAAGCTCCCAATAGGTGTCGTTAGAAACCCAGGCTTCTCTTTGATTCGCATCAGTAACTTTTCTGTGAAAATATAAAAACCAGTGTCAGCCACAAAATGACATCAAGGTGATCTGATAACTGGATCATCTTTAGGCTGGCCTCGAACTCACAGGGATCCTTCTGGCTCAGCCTCCAGAGTGCTGGGATTATACCGTTGTGCAGTACCTTGCCCTGCATTTCTGTGGTTAAACGCTTGATACTGAAGCAGGTGGAAGAGGAACTGGGGGCAGGAATGAACCAATTCCAGGCAGGGACAGAGAAGAAAGAGCCCCAACAAAGCATCTACTGCAACTAACAGCTCCCAGCCCTAGCCCCACAGAATCATTTCTGCTTCACTTTCATTTGTAGGGAAAAGTGTAGCTGTACACCAGTGGCTGTACAAGCCCCTGCAGGCCTCTCTAACGCCACACACTGCGAACACCTTAAGGACCAGGCTGCATGTCTGCCTTAGGAGGTCATAAAGAGGCAGATCTAAAGGACAGGAGGTTAACCTGAGTTTTTCTTTGTTCAGGCTCTGGAGGGTAAAAAGATGGATTTGTAAACTACAGCTTCATCTGTGTGATGTATATATAATCCTGTAGTAATCACTGGTTATCATACCACTGCAGGGCCCAGTCTGATCAGAGGAAAGCTGTGTGTGATGGAAGTAAAGTTAAATACTAACAACATAGGGCCCTATCCAGTCCCTGGGTGAGCGAGTGGGAACAAGTGTCAGAATGCTAAAGGGTGCAGCTGAAGGACAAAGCCTCCTGGGTGAGATCCTTACTCCTCTACTGCCCACGAGAATAAAAAGCTAGAGAGAAGGATTTTTTTTTCCCCAAGTGCAAAACCTGATGCCATTTCTTTCACTTCTGAAAGTGAAGTTACCAAACTCAGTTTAGTTTTTCTACCTTTAAATTCCCTGGACAGCACCTACTTCCCCATTTTCTTTTCATGGAGTTTCTCATGACTTGTGACGAGCCTGTGAAACATGAATTTATTATGATAATGAGCTGACTTACTTAAAAAATTTTGGTATATGTTCAAGGTTGTTTTCTTCCATGTATCGTCTTCGCGATCTCTGGAGTTCTTCTACTCTTTGCTTCTCTGCTGCTGCAGCTTCTAAATTTCCTTCTTCCAAAAATCTAAGTGGAAAGCAGTTGACATTTCCACAGGTTACGCTCTTCTTAGGCAAACAAAAAAAAAATCTTATTTGTGTAAATTACACTCTGATTGCTGTGAATGTTACATATTGAATGGTGAGACACTGGTAAGGTCACCTCATCGTATCCCAGGTTACACCTCTGTCTATCCATCAACAAATGTACTTTGTCTGCTTGTGGACTGAGTTATTACATCCACCAATATAATGGTAGGAGGCAAATGTAAAAGGTTTGGAGCTTCCAGTGTGGAGACTCTGTGACATGAGATTTTCAGGACAAGAGTGAGTCAAGGTGAGAACAGCGTGAAGTCACAGCTGTGCTGCTTCCTAGTTGCCCCAAAAGGTCCTTGTTAAAGACTATAGAGTGGAGGGTGGTAACTGGCTGTTCTCTATCTATTCAGAGACCAGACTGAGAGGCAAGGAGCTAGAAAGTAACCATTGGTGGTGGGGATTACAAAAGGCAATAGAGTAGGAAACAAAACTTTAGAAGGGAATATGGAAATAGAATTACCAAGGTAAAAAGTAGGCCCAGGGGCTGGGGATTTAGCTCAGCGGCATAAGCACCTGCCTTGCAAGCAGGCAGTCGTGAGTTTGATCCCCAGTACCGATAAAAAGGAAAAAGACAAAAAAAAAAGTAGGCCCAATGGCAATTTGCAAATGCTTACAGTTCCAAATGAGAAGAACTGAGTTATACTATGGTACATGCTGTACAGACTTAAATGAGAACATTTTAATACCGCACAGTGAGACAGCATGGTCTTAGGTGTGTAGGGTAACACAGGAGAATTGAAAACCTAAGAGGAACATTCAATGCTGAGAATATTTTTGCAGAAAACAAAGCCACAAACACATAGAAAACAAAAAACTGATCGTGGGTGGAATTCATATGGCATATAGAATTTTTGAGAAAGGGGGGATGAACTCTATAGGAGTAAACAACATGAATTTTACATAATAATAAAAGTAAGAATTCAGAAGGCACTAAAGATACTGTATTTTGAGTTCATCTCCTACCCGCCAAGACCTCCAGCATGTTGAGCCTGCTCTAGATTTTCAGTAAAAATATTTGTCAGTCCTCCTGTTACCCTGTTTTCTTCAATATAAAAAACATACATGTTACAAGGTATGGACGTTAAAGAGGTCAAAATCACTGGATGAGATGTGATCTGCATTTAGTGGGGAATTTGTGAATTTGCAGACCTAGGAAAAACTTGAGGGATTAAGGTGGGATAGTGTTTCTAATAAAATACAACTATGTTACTGTCCCCTGTAACTTTCATGTCAGGATAAACTTGTTATGATCATCCTACAAATACTATTTCTCCCAGGGCAGAAAACTCAAGGCCTGCTAAGTGAAGAAGGGAATGAAGGAAGAACTTAATAAATAAATGATGATGGTAAAATTAAGTCTCTGTGACTCTAAAGCCCACACCGCCATCTGGGCTACATCTGAAATACTCCCCCCACTCTTACCTTTGATCTGGCCGGAATCGGGCATCTGTCGGGGGGAGGAGATCTTTCAGTACGGGATCTAATTCGTTGAGCTCAATAGCAAACCGTGTGAAGCCATAATAGAGCTCATAGTTGGTGGGCATGGAACCTGGAATGAGGCCAATGAACCACTGTGAGAAGACAAAGGTGTAGAGAAAAAAGAAGCCAGCTTACCCCTGTGAAATCAGTACCCATTCCGATGTCAAAGCTGTGGTCAGGAACACACGACTGTGAATTAAATTGGTTACATTTTGCTATATAGGGAAGTTTGTGTTGATGACTGGAATGGTTCGGTGCCTTTATGTAATAAAATGCAATCTTCAAAAGGAAACCTCACTCACAGAGCAGCAGTCCTCACTGGTTAAATTCTGTAATTTTCCTCTCACATACTCAACTGGTTAACCATATGCTAGGATGGTTAACTATGAACATTAAAATTTCACCAGAATTACTTATGACTTATTTCCTTCTAGAAAAAGGAGGCTATGTAGTGCTAACTTAGTATTTATTGGCACTTGTTACTAAACTCAAAGGCAAGATCTCTTGTGTGCTTTGCTCACGGATGTACCCAAGTGCCTAGCACAAAGCCTGATGCCTAGTCAGCACTCCACAAGCAGTTTCTAATGAAGGAACTAAGCACTTTACTAGAAGGATCCCTAGATACTCATCAACATCTCTTAGGAAACCAATACTTGATTTTAAAGCCAGAGATTAATTCCAGTGAAAACCAATGTCATGTGGAAACTTCTGCCATTTATAGCAGACATTCGATTATAGGCTAATGTAATACCAAAACTCTGTTGATATCTTTTAATAAATGTCAATTACTTGAGCCTTTATTGCTCAAGTGAAAAGATGACCTATTCTGGTAAATTATTGGATTTGTGGATTGTAGATGTTTGTAAGCTTTCCTTTATTTTATACATAAATAAGGATATGTTGGTATGTTTCACTTACTTAAGCTCTAATGATTACACATAGCTTTTGAAAAGTATCCATTACATGTGGAGTGACTTTACATGTTAGATTTTAACATGTCATGCTACCTGTGTCAGAGATATGTCCTAAATTTTTTTATTATCAATTATTGAGTATTGGCTTTTCCCTGTAACTTACATGTGGAGAAGTGTAGCTAATTGTTTTAAGCATCTAGGTTCTAAATCCATAAAGGAAACACAAGATGAACTGCATAGGATGAGCCCCTTCCCTTTCCTCCTGCTCTCTAGCGCCCCCTCCAGGCTCACCTGGTCTCCAGATGCACTTTGCCGAGGGGGCCACGCCGCAGTAGAGTCCTTCGTGCCACTTCCCAAACAGCCGGTGCACTACCTTTCCTTCCTGATCTATCACAACCCCTTGCACTTCATTCACATTGGAATTCCAATAATTCACCTGGAAAAATCAAACCGGATCAGTTTAGTAACACCCCTATTTCCATAATTTCCATATGAAAAATTTTCTTTACCTCGAAGCCCCTCCTTCAAACCATTTCCCCAAATCTGTCTCAAAATGCTTTATATGCAATGTTGGTACGCTAAACTTTCAAGAAGTGGACGATCTCTCCTCCACGTTGTAGTTTGGTGGAATGGCACAGAGAAAGCCCAAGCGCTATCCTAAGAATTAATTGCTAGATGAGTAATCCTCTTGTCTCGAATTGTCTCTTTACTCACGGATTTAATGAATTTTGATTGACTATGCCATAGAAATAGTTGATGAATTTTGTAACATATGCCAACAGGAAGGTAATACAGATACAATTTAGATCATAGTGATTTGGACCTAACTGTAATGGGGCTGAGTAAGTTTGTACTGACTGGTAGCTATCATCTATGTGGCTGTTCTATTCAAGTATTTTCAGAAAATGACAACTGCATTATAATTAGTTCACTAAAACAGGATCACCTGAATATTTTGTAATCAAGCAGGAATATTTATAGAAATAGAAGCTAGAAGACTTAGTATAGGCAAGAAGTGTTCTTTGGAATTCTACTTAATAAACTCCTGACTGGCTGGCTACCTAAAAAAAGAAGATTCTTTAAAAAGAAATTTGATATTTTCCTGTCTTGAAATGGTGCCTTTTTTGACCACCACATGTCCAAAAGCATCATGTCTTGAGAACTTCATACATTGGTCCTGATTTTCTATCTAAAATGTCCTAAGATCAGTAACACAGGACAGATTTACTTGGTACTAACTAGCTGTTCATTCATTCATTTGTTTGTTGGTTTGAGACAAGATCTTACTATGTAGCCCAGGCTGGCCTCAAACGCACAGTAATCCACCTGCCTCAGGCTCCCAAGTGCTGGGATTATGGGTGTATACCACCACGCCCAGCAATGTGCTGCTATTTAACCTCATTGTTCTATTTTTTCCTTAAGAAGCTTTTATTATATTATTATTTTGGTGGTACTGAGGACCGAACCCAGGATCTTTACATTGAACTGTATCTCCCGCCTTTTTTTTTTTAAACTGGTTTTTATTCTGAGACAGGGTCTTGCTACGGTTGCTAAGTTGCCCTGGTGTATGCCACCATGCCCAGCTTTAGGAAGCATTTTGTACTATTTTTTGTTTGGTGTTTTATTATGCTATTTACCTTGACAAATGTGAGTTTGCAAATGCAAACACTGCTTTTGGTATTTCTAATGGTTATTTCTCCATAATGCTCTATCCATCTTCTCCCACTGAGAATGTTGTGTATGCACGTGGTGACCTTATTCCACACATAGTAGTCTCCGTACCTAGTGAAGAATATAACATTGATTAAGAACAACACAAATCTATTGCTGTTTCTATGAACTAGAATCTTTTGGGCAAAGCTGCCCTCTCTCTCTCTTCATCTCCTTTTCTGAAAGTTTCTGGTGGTCACAAACACATGACATCAGTCACTTTAGTATCGCGGACACGCTTTCTCTCAGTCAGGTGCTACAGCTATGAAGTGGAAGAGGTGCCTGTCTTTTGCTTGTCTGGGGCCATCAGAATGTGAGTAGATGGATAGGTAAACAAATGCTTACGGTCAAATATGATTAGGGCTATAACAGACAGATGTAAGAATCACCAGGGGAATACAGAAGGACACGTCCTTCATCCTTAGTTCAGCCTGGGACATGGGGTGAGTGTCAGGGATGATGTCCTAAAAAAGGCTGGGGTATTCTCACTTGCATGGTGCACAGGTGGGTGCTCTGTACTGGGGACAGCGCCCACCAAGCCCCAGGGTCTAGAAGAGCAGGATGCACGTGGGCCTGTGCAGTCAGCCCCAAGGTGTGAGGCAGGGCTGGAAAGGTGGTATCGCGGATCATTAATGTCTTGTCAAAGAGCATGGTTTACCTGGCAGACAACGGGCCACCTAGGAATGACTGGAGGTAGGCAGAGGTTTAATTAGGGTGCGCAGGTAAGAAAAATTATTCAGGAAAGACTAACAAGCATAACCAAGATGGCACAAATCTAAAGCAAACCCTGGGAATGAGGTTATGAAATTTTTGGTGACGAATGAAAATACTTTCAATCACATTTAAATTTGTAGATTATGTATATTTTCAAATGAAATGTTATTTCAAAATAAAATAAAATGCTTCTAAGATCTAATGGGTATAAATATAGGCACTACAGACATTGGGGAAAATTTTCTTTCTTCCTTATGAATTTTCAAATGCTGATAATTTAGCTCCTTCTCTTTACCTTCCTTCATATCCCATGCACCAGCAAATTCTGTTACTCAGGTAGAAAAAACGACCAGCTGAATCAAGTCTTTAGATTCAATGAAAACTTCAATTAACTGAATCGAATTAATTCACTTATAATCTGTAGAACACAACTATAGGAGGATTCTTTTATTTTTCTTTGACAAAATAGCTTATAAATATTATAAAATGCAAACTATATGGTGTTGGGAACATGGTAAGTATGTGAATTTGACTGCTAAAGAAAGGATACAAAGAGAAACAGGAGCTTTGGTACATTTGTGAGACTTCTCATTTATTTTTGTGGGAATCCATCCTCAAAACTGAGTGAAGGTAACAGAAACTTTGGGCATAGAGAAAAATGAAACCTGGGCATCTTCCAAAGGCTCACATACCCACTGCTGGTTCAGAAAAGTAGTTAAGAGGCCCAAAGGAAGAGAGAAGAGAGTAACCTACTTTGGAAGCATGACATTCAGTGTTCCAACAGGCAGGATTTCCATTGACTTCCCCCAGAACTTGTTTTTCCATCTGATATCTGGGCAGAGGATAAAAAAATATGCTCCATATCTAATCACTTGTTCTATAAAAATACCTTTTGTACTACATTCACAAAGCATTTTTGTAATTCTAATTGATTCTACATTTTCTGAAGATGGCCTCATGTATAACTGCAATTTTAAAAATCCACCATTGATGTTCTTCCAAAATTATGCTCTATATTTATCTTTAACTAACAAACTGGAAGAATCTGGAATAAGATATGTGTGTCTGTGTTTGAGAGTGTGTGTGTGTGTATGTGTGTGTGTGTAGTTCATATATAAATATAAATACACAGCCAGTATTGGTCAGGCAGTAATAAATGTTAAGTTTTAACTAAATGCTAAAAATAGCTAACATATATATCAAGCCTCAGGTGTATGTAAAAATAATTGCAGTATGGCAATATCACTGATTTATAGACACACTTCCCCTATATACGAAAGGGTTATATGATTTGGGAGAACAGTAAGAAAATAAAAAATTCTCTAAATACAGATATGGAAGATTTATGAGAGCAGGGTTAATTCAGTGCGCACATTTCTATTCTGGTTATGAAGACAGAGCCCAAGGCCCAGCACTTTATCTCAGCATGCCTTTCTATTTTCCTTGTGGGAACTCGCATATACCTGCATGTTTATAATGACCACCTGGTCCAATTCTGATGAACTGAGGGAGCCTAATGGGGTTGCCATATAATTTCTGACTCTTGGTTATGATCAAGAAATGATTTATTGTATTATTTTTCCAGAAAATACAGCTGCAGTGCCCTGCCATTTTGTGTTTTCAGGTTAAGGAAATGGTTAGAAGATTTGTTCTGTGAGCAATGAATCACCCTCCCTAGAGCAAAGAAACTATGCCAAGTGGTCAAATCTACATATTATTTTTTTTAATTTCATGGGTAAAGCACAAAAATTAGTAACAAACTAATGTAGTGAATACACTGCCTGTTGTTATCATCAAAGCTGTTAAGAGTACAACATAGGAGGACAGAAAATTCTCCAAATGATACTAGCACTAACCTTCGTTTTCAATGAACTAAGAGAAACTAGTAGTGTAACTATCTTGTATTTTTTCCCCTTTCTTCCTTTCCTCTTTCCCTCACCCTAGTTCTTCTTTTCTTCCTTTTCTTTATAAAAAGGTTTGGAAACTGTATTTAAGGCAGGTTTGTAATGTTCCAACAGGAATTATTAGTAAGTACAGAATTCAAAGTCCTGAGTTCTAGTGAGTTAACCCGTGTCCCTGGTATCATGGAGATTGGTTCCAAGATACCCTGAGTCCACAGACATCTGAGGCTCTTCTGTTAATGGCTTTGGCAATGTAGGTTATATGCACATAGCCTATGCATATCTTCCCATATTCTGTAAATCATCTCTACACTACTTATTCCTAATACCATGTAAGCGCTATGTAAATAACTGCTATACTCTATTGCTTAGAGAATAATGACAAGAAAAACTCTGTATACTGTTTAGTACAGGTATAACTTTTAGTTTTCCAAGTATTTTCTATCTGCGGTTGGTTGAATGTTCAGATGCAGAAACTTCAGATACTGTGGAAGGACTGGGTGATGCGCCACAAAATCTTCTGGGTTAGAATCTCTTTGCACATCCCAAGAACTAAGAAGGCTGCAGATATCACCTCTGCATTACAGATGCGGACAGCAATGCATCATCTGCAAATGATGGCTCGAAGCGGCCTATCAGCAAACTGCTCTGCCACCCCCCAGGCTTTGCTTCCTAGATACACAGTTTCACACTGCCATCAGGAAACTTACTTCCTCAAACTGAGCTCTACAGCAATTACCAATATCCTCTGAATTCAAAGGTAGAAATCTGAACTGAGTACAATGAATTCAGAAGCTAGAAACGGTTCCATAGGCAAATACATTTGACTTTAAATCATCATTGGGATACAGACCTTGCCAAAACACAAAATTCTTTGATTCACAGTGACAAGCAGAAATGGGTGGATGATGGCTAACCTGGTAATTAAGAAAAAAAAGAAGGCGATGATAACAGTGTCAGACTTCCATAGATGATATATATTTTTATGATGAAAAATGGTCACCACCAATGAAAACCATAATTAAAGCATTTCAGTAAGTAAATTATTCTCAAGATACATCAGCCAATCTGTAGCTTTTAAGACTCCGCCCCTAAGCAAACAGGAACACTTAATGGTGTCAATGGTGCAAATAAGCTAAGTGAGTTTTCTGTTAATTGCTTCAATCACCCCCTCCAAACGCACAGCTGTCCAAAGCTGTTTTCATCACCAGGTTGCCCTCCAACCTATACAGAAAGCTTACTTACTTGTTCTGAGAAAAATCGGAATCCCTTGTCTTCTCTAATGCATTCGTAAGTTTCCCCCAGGACTGGGTTGAATGGCTTACTTCCTGCCCTGAAATAGGTGGAGCAATAGCCTGAAACTGCAAATGCAGCAACGAGCACCTGTTAAAACATTTGAGAAAAGAACGTAAGATAGGAGAGACTCCTGCTAGGTCTGTTTCTCTCTATGCCTCTAGGTTTTCCACACTCGTGTCGATGGGTACTGACTTGATGCATGTAAATCTTCATGAGCAAAAGGTGAGTTCACATGAGGCTAAACCACAGCTTTGGGAACCAGCACGCCACACAGAGCAAGTGCTCTGTCCAAACACATATTCATCCAGTTTCACTTGTTATCATAAAGTTCAGAGGTCCTAAGTCCAGCTCATAGGTTATGTTGCATGTGTCATCTTAGCAGGACATGTGTGGGGAGGTTGGAGCTGTGGTCCTTGTCAGGGACCAGCCCAGTTTTCCAGTCATACAGAGAAAAGGGCAAGGTACCAAGAGCACGTTACTTTCTTAGAACTAAGTTCCTGCACAGATGGGCTCTCCTGGCACTCAGGGAAAGCTAAGAAGGCAAGGCTCAGCAGGACTTCAACATTATGGTGTATGACACCCTTGCTGCCTAGCTTTAGAAATACCAGACTGCAGCGAAGTCATAAAATGAGTACCATTCAGGACAGGCATCTAGAACTTTTTGTCCCTCCTTGATTTTGCAACCCAAGCAACTCCTGTCTTACCTATGCCAGAGAGAATGTTATGCAAAAACCAAATGTGTCATCACAATGGCTTGCGGCTTATCCAGGTCCTAAGGGCACGGCCCTGTGGTTCATTACCATGCGCTCGTAGGGATCATCGGTCTCTGAAGCTTTGTCCAGGAGCTCACTGTACTCCATCTCCTCGCAGAGATGCTGCAGAGTGTTGAGCGGCTCGTTGAGCTCTACAGGCATGGAGACTTTCGACAGGTCTTTGCCAATGTTGTTCCTCAAGATGTTCCACAGGTTAATGTTACTGGTGTCCGGGCAGGGGGCGGGCAGGCATGTGCGCCGCCCGTTTCGGAAGGCACCTCCCGTGAGCTCCCCGTTCAGGACTGGCAGAAGGACAATCACAGTGAAAGTGACTTTGCTTTTCAGATTTCACAAAATCAAGGAGGAAAATAACTCCGATTGTGACACCTTTCTTGAGCCTTCATTACACTGCACTCTCACGAATAAACAAGAGTATGCAATTTTGAGGTTGTAAGCAAATGCACAAAACATCAGAATATACTTATTTAAAGTAAGTGTCAAATATATTTAAAATATTAAGAAGAGTCAAATTAAAATATATATACAATAAAGATTTGCACTTTGGGTATGAGCAAGAGGTAAAACTTCTTCACTTGAACTTAACAGATTTTTGCAACTCTATCTCAACAGATTATGCAATATAAAAATTATGAAATAAGTTGGTAAAGGAACAATTAGTAGGGATAAGAGGGGAATCACTGCTTATGAATTCATAAGTGTTGTAATTTGGCATGCAGACTGAGGAACCTGGAAGCTTGAGTGGTGCATACTTTGCCGAGAAATATTGTCTGCGACACTGGTATTGTCTTCTGAGATGTTATCACTCACATCGCTGATGTAAGACTCGTCATCAGAAGCCTGAGGAAGGGAAGGAAGAACACAGAAGGCTTTTTCTGATTCCTGTCTTGCAAGCTCAGATAATCAAATGATTAAAAATATAAAATGAGAAGCTGTAGTCCTTCGGGAAATGTAGTTGGCACATGTGCAACTTGAGGGTCTCCCAAGGGCCAGGATACAGGGCTGCTAGAAAGGAACAATTGTATACAGCAATGTGCCTCCATTGGGATGGCCAGCTGAGGAAGGACAACATAAGCAGAAATGGTCAGGACACTGAGAGTGTTCATAAAGGAGGCCCTGCGATTTCCTCTAGAGGATGCAGGAGGGGCTGCCTGGCATATAAAGACACTCAGGTGGGTGCTGGAGAACAAATGGGCCTTGTTTAGTCCTTACAAGGGAGAGGAGCTCAGGAAGAGGGAGAATGTGGAAAGGCAAAGACCATGAGAGACATCTATGTTTCCTAAACATAAGAAACAGCACAAGCATATTGTAAAGATACTAGAAATTACATATGTGTATGCAAATACTCATCATCTCATTTGTAAAGGTAACTATGTTTAACATTTGGTTAGATGTTATATCTCCCAATTTCAAATGGCTGTATAAACACATTGATACAACTATCTTTGGATGCTAAAGAAGGAATCAGTTTCTATTCTGCTTCACAGAATTCTCAATGTAATTCCACTACAGTAGCCATAACTCTTTATCTTTATTTGGAGAGACAGCAAACTTCATTGAACATTTGTAACACAAAGGATTTAACCAGCATTGAAGTAGTTTCCTGCATTTCGCGGTTACCGATAATACGTACATGAACACTCCTGTAAATCTGCCTGCTGACTTCATTACAGTTTCTATAACTGGATGAACCACTTTTAGGCTGCAGCTACATGTTGCCAAACTGCGCTCCTGAAAGAGTGCATTAATTTGCTCTCCAATAGAACTGGAAAAAACCATCTTTCCACACCTCCTTAACCACTGTACATTATCATTTTTTTCTAGCAGTATACCTAACATACAAAAAGATCTCTTCAACATTCAAGAATTTATTTCCTAATGTTTCACACATCCATGTATCCTTCCTTCCTCCATCCACCCTCTCTTCCTTTTTTTTTTTTCCTTTTTATGGAACTGGGAATTGAACCGAGGGTTTTTGCACTGAGTTACAGCTACCACCTTTGTCTTATTTTTTATTTTGACACAGGCTTTTGCTAAGTCACCCATTCTGGGCTTGAACTTGTTATCCTCCTGCTTCAACCTCTTAAAATGCTAGGATCACCGGCAGGAGTCACCAAGCAGCTCACACATTTTTTTCTCTTGTTATATACACTGCATGATGTATTTTTAAACTTTGTTTATGACAACTTTTTTTGTCATAAAACTACATCTATGCAATAAAAACAACTAGTATTTATCTTTAAAATTTATGGATTTATTGTTGCTTTTAAATTAAGAGTTGAAATGAGCTCACATATTCATAGAATGAATGCATATATGAAGTGGAAGTTTTACTTCTGCACACAGTAAGTCGGTAAAAAACAGAACATTGAGAACAAAGTCTTTTTCTGATTCCTGTTTTCCCACCACACCTGGCTCCCACAGTTTTCATTGATTGCAAAAGACCTAAAGGGTAAGCCATCAGGGTCACCAAAGGTTTTTTTTTTAAATCTTAGTAGAGGGAAAGAAAGTAAATTAAATTCTTTATTCGATTTCTCAGAAAAAAGCTAGTAATATTAAAGTATGTTTAGGAGACACCTGCCCTTGTGAATCAAATTCATAGTATACGCATGTCTATTGTTTGTTAAGAACACTTGTATTTATCTATAAAACTATAAATAGTCTATGTCTGTTCAATTTCTGATCTTTATCAAACTAAGATATCAAAGAGATGACCTAATGCCATTGGTATAAAAGAATCCTACAGTAACAGTGAGCTCCAAGAAAGTTGCGTGCAATGTCATACACAAGTGTGGACAATGGCACGGCTGGGGTTGTCCTGATGTGATCCTCTCATGTCATCCTGTACACAGAACAAGGCTCTTGGTACTTTAATAAAAACTGTCTTATTCTCTATGGTCAAGAAATCTTGGAGCCAAATACTCTCTTTACAAACTTCAGGATTCAAAGGAGTTTAGAAAACGTTTTATACCTAAACATATAGACAAACAGCAGTGCAGAAACAAGTTAAAACATAAGTATAAGGCAAAAAGATAATTCTGGAAACAAGAGGCCATTTTCTTTTAGCAGGTCCTGAGGATCAATTGAGAACTATTAAAAGAAAATGGTCCCTTTTCCTTTCTGTCATGGAAAACGTTTATGTAAGACAGCTAATGCCCTGATGCATCTCAGAACTATGTTAGAGATGAAAGTCTGCCTCCTCTGTTCAGTTAGCAAATACTTATTGAGTATCTGTTCTGGGTTCACCAGGGTTTCTCCAGGTGCTGGAGACACAGCGGGAGAAGTCTCTGAGTTCTAGTGGAGAGATGAATTTTAAAAAAGTGAAATATATATTTTGTTAGATAGTGGCAAGTGTGAAGGGAAAAATGAGGAGGAAAGAGGGATATAAAAGGCGAGAAGAGAGGAGGAATGGTAACTTCATTACAGACAGGTCATGGTTGTGGGCTTCCCTGAAGGTGGGTTTTGAATAAAGAATAGAAGGGGCTGAATGTAACATGTCTCGGGGAGAATCCCCACAGCCAGAGCAAATGCAGTGGCCAGTCTTTGTTGGCAGCTGGAGTACAGGGCACGCACCCTGGTGTGACGCTGCAGCTGCTGGCAGGGCTGACGCACGTACAGTAAACTGTCCGGGCTGGCTTGTTAAATGCATTCGTATGAAGACTCACGGGGCCTTCAGGAGGGACTTCATCAGAAAAAGACTTAGAGACCAGAACAAATGAGGTTCACTCACTAACCAGGCTTTGCTACAGCGAGCGAAAGCAATTGTGAGAACATCAACAGTGGCTTGTCACTTGAGTTTATCTCCTGACCTAGCCCCATAAGATTGTTACAAAGGGAAGATTTACGTAAAAACAGTTTTTTGTTTTGTTTTGTTCTGAACAATTTGTAAAAGACAGGGCACAAGATGCAGGCGTGAAGTTCAGTGCTTTCCAGAGTGAGTTGCAGGAGAGAATCATTTCTACAAGGACAATTACAAGGTGTCTTGAGCAACTCAAAAACTCCAGGAGTAACTCTGCTGGCTACAGGAAGGCTCCAGAACAGAGGCAGCACAAGGCTGCACAGGAGAACAGGCCTGGATGACAAACACTGCTGAGGATAGCTAAATAGTTAGGGTGTTATCCTTAGGACACTGAAAAATGAGGACACAGTGAGGAAGGATTGGAAAGGACAAGAAAAGACCCAAGAAAAATAGTTATGGGACTTGTGCAGGTATCCAGGCAGAGAAAACATGGAGGACTGGATTGGCGTGGTGGCAGCAAAGCTGCAGAACGAGGTGTGGATGTGACACTTTTAGATGACAGAGTGATAAGTGAATCTATATGAGCAGCTGTAAGAGAAAAAAAGGGATGGAGGAAAATACTCAAGTGTCTGAAGTGAATAGTTAGCTACAAGAACCTAAAAAAACTCAATGAGGAGTATGGGTGGACTGTTTTTATTGGGGTGGTGGTGATATGTGGGGAAGGGGTTGGTTGATTGTTTTTTTTTTTTTTTGACATACAGAATTAGAGGTTCTATGAGCTCCAGGGTGGCAATGTCTCACAGGTAGCTGGTTCTGTGAATCCTGAGCTGACTCTTTTCTAAATCTGCTGTCTCTGAGCTTTAGACTTGCCTATCTGAATGCCTGACAAGTGACCTCATGAACATACCATCTCCAGGCTGCCTCTCTACCCTGCCCAGTCCTCTAGGGATGCTGTCACTAGCTTCGACTCTCCCCTGAGGGTAGCACCAACATCTTGCTTGGGCTTATGCAATAATCTGCTGCCTACACTTTCACTTCTATATTTCTAATACTTAGTGAAAGTGATACTTGGACATCCAGCTGGGTATGCACCAACAACTTGCAAACAGGGAAATAAATTTGCTCTCCGCGAGAGAGGCTATAAAGTCATTGGATGGTGGGTTTGAGCCCAGGTAAGGTAGAGTCAAGTTTGTCTGTAACTTGAATGAAGTATGGAGTACTGGATCGGCAATGGGAGCTCAAAAAGTCAGCCACGAAAGAAATTTCCAGTAGCCTGTCACCAGCACGGTGGACCTTGAGGGTGAGGACAAAAATACCTATCTGTGTGGCAGACTATCCCTATACATGGGAAGAGGAATGGAGTCATAATATCCCGCCCTCCTGGCCTAAGTTCACTCAGCTCACTTCTGCTTTCATTCACTGCTCTCTAAGCTGCTCCTGACTACAACTAGACCTGTCCTGCGGATCTGCCTGTAGAGAAAGACACAGTAATGGCAAGCATTACTACTTTGTCTATCTGATAGCACCAATTACCACTGCACATAATTAAACCAGTGCTCATTTATAAATGGAAATCTCTCTGAACCTGTTAATGCCTGCCTGGAGATCACAGAGGCAGGTCCATGCCCTGGTATGCTAACAAATTCAGCACCTGATACAAGACTCCTGTTTGACATTTCTGCCAGTATAAACATGATGTGTATTTATCATTTCTTCCTCCATCCCACTTTATATTTGTTTCTAAAATTACCTATAATTCTAAGTATCCAAAAATAACTACTATTGTTAGGGTATTGCCTTCCCATCTGTTTTATGGAAACAGTATTTAGCAATTATTTTTTTCATTAAAATGTAGTACAGATTTTCAGTACCAAATGATAAAAATCCTAACTGATTAACTGGGAAAGCTCTGGCTGCTTCCTTTATGAAAAAACAAAACAAAACAAAACAAAACAAAACAAAACAAAACAAAACAAAACCTGAAGCGTACTTGAGTAAATTTAAGTAACAGAACAGGTCCCCAGTTTCTAAGACCTGGCCAAGACTCCAAAAATGAACAGTAATACAATATAGCTTTTGTGGCAGCCAGTGATGAACCTGCAAGAACCATAATCACCCAGCTAGATATATGCTAGACAATATCCTTCTAATCTCCAATTTATGTCACTGGCAAAGATACATAATATGTATGTCTGTGTGCATGCCTCAGTGGTGATTTTTAAAATTCTCCCATTCTTCTTGCATTTATTAGTTAGTCTCCTTTCATACAGAACACCATCATCAACTCTTTGGTTATTCTAAAACAGTAATCATAGAAAAAAAGCCGTAATAGATGTTTGACTTTTTCCCTTTATATTCATTAAATGTAAAAGCAAAAATTGATGCCCCCAAAGTATAGTCAAATGCTCAGTAAAATGGGAACCAATATGGTTTGCAAGATTTTGGCTCTCCTACAATTTAAGCATCTTATTAGGATATAAACTGACAACCACAACCACCACAAACTTCTACAACCTTCCTCTTTTTTAACTCAAACTCATGGTCACGAGCAGTAGAGGTCAACACGCCCAGTAGCCTTACCTCATTTTCTGATGAACTTGCAGATAGGAGCACCTCTTGGGCATCAAAGAACTCAGACACAGACTCAGACATGGAGAGGCGGCTCTCATTGGCTACTTGCTGGGATAAGGGGAGACTGACATGGATTTGCTCGCCAGGCTAAGGAAAGAGAAGCCCATGTTACCTTCACTTGTTCCCCTGTTGGAGAGCTATTCCTTCCCATTAGGTGGATTTCTAAAGAAATCCACACTGTTAAAAGATTGGTGACCACAAGTCATTTTCACTTGCTACAGTTTAAGATTCTTTCTACTGCATTACTAAAGATTCTAAAAGGCACAGTGGAAAGGTATTGAACTTCATTTCAGACTGCATTTTTAAGCCCTGAATGATAAATATTGTTTCTAAGGGAGTGATGTGAGTTTAAATCAGAAAGATATATAAACGTGTGTTTACACATTCTTATATATATTACAGGTTGAAAAGACTTTGAACTGAAGATTTTGGTAAATAATTTTTGAATGATAAATTTTAGAAACATTCCTAAATTTTGAGCAGTTGAGTGAATGTAAATGTCACCAGAGGCCAGGGTCCCTGGAGATGAGCACTCACAAAATAGGTTAACTAAGGCCAAAACTAAACCACTTTGGGACAATCTATCCTAAGTAGCTTGCATTTGGAGATTTCTAGTGAGATCTGCTTTGGTTTAAATATGACCTTACAGTATTAGCTAAAATTCACCTACATGCATCACTGTGTATAAAGTTCTAATATTACTGTCAAAAAGTTTAAATTCTCATGGCCATAAAATAACCATTTTATAAAGGTCATAAACACAATTACCAACTGAATGTTCTGAGTATTTTCCAACTGTTACTATTTTTTAAACGCAAAAAATGGAATAACAGCACCTACCTTGGAGGATTATCGCAAGGGTCAGAGGGGACAACACACGGGAGTGGTTAGCACAGTACTTGCCACACAGTAAGCACCTACTTGACGCCTGTCATCTATTAATTACCACTTTCATCAGCAGGGGGCAGCACCATTAGGATCATCTTAGCAAGATCAGTTGATTTCTGTTTCTAAATGCTCCCTGAAACATTTCCTTTTTTTCCAAGTACTAAACATTGAACCCCAGAGTCTTATACCTAGCTACATCTCCAGTTTTTTTAAATTTTATTTTTTATTTGTTTTATTGATTCAGTCTCTTTTTTCCTTTATTTTGAGATACAGTTCTGTCTCAGCCTCCCAAGTGCTGGGATGACCCTACGTCCCATATTAGGAAACCTCTACTTAGCAGGTTCTCAACTAAAAGTGTTTTGTTTTTGTTTTTCAGTATTTCATTGGCCATGAGTGATAATGAACATCTTAGATAAAGGATGAGACACAGAAAAGTAACAGGCTGGAGCAGATATAAAAATTAAATATTTGGTGACATTAGGGGAAAACAGAAGTAAACAAAAATAGTGATCACCAAGAATAAATGATGGCAAACACATGTAGATTCTGTATTCCAAAGAACACTGAACTGTCAGCAACACAAATATTTATGGAGTGTATATTGATAATAGTAAAATAATTGTACAAAATGGACACAAATATTCAGTAAATTTAGATGCTATGAAATAGGTATTAAAAATGAGTCATATCCATAAATTTGTGTGTGTGTATATATATATGTATGATAGCTAAAATGACTATACTACTAATTATATGTTATTGGAAAAGAACAGTTAATACTCATGTTTATTTTATTTTATTTTATTTTTTCCTTTTTCGTTTTTATCGGTACCGGGGATCGAACTCACGACTGCCTGCTTACAAGGCAGGCGCTTATGCCACTGAGCTAAATCCCCAGCCCCAATACTCATGTTTAGATCAATTTTACATGTCTGTAAATTAATCTAAGCAACCCTCTTGAAGGTAACAATATGCAATATTATAATCATAGTCAAATTCCTATCATCTTGTTTTGTAAACCTATACTGCAATTATATTTGATTTCTTGTTGCCTGTCTGTCTGCATTACTTTTTGTTTTTCTTTTCTGTGTCTTTTTAATCTTAAATAAAAAAAATTTAAAAATGAGTCTTACCTCATCAGGGCTAGGAATAATATTTACACTGACAACCTGATCACAAATGATAGACTCTGAATGTATTCTGTTCAGCCGACTCCGCAGTTCAGCATTCTGGTTGAGTGCCTTAAAACAACAAAAACCACACTTGTCATTTCATACTAACAAGCAAGCATACAACAGAAGAGTACACAGGTGTAACTTTGACAATAGCATCTGTGATGCTCTTGCTTTTAGAATCATCGAGTCAGATTCAATCAGTAAGAAGGAAATAGAGGCTTAGAATTAAGGTATTAATTCTTTTTATACTGTGAGGTCACTACTTAGTAGGTTTGTCGGCTGAGTTAGTGGATTTCATAAAAATGATACATGGAATTTTATCTCCTTTACAGCCAGACCCATACATCTCAGTCTAGTCTACCACCACACATATATTACTTTTTGCAGTCTGGGATGAGAATTCTTTCCTTTCCTCTTTCTCTTTTCCTCCCTTTTCTCTCCTCCCCCTCTCATCCTCTCTCTCTAAAGTCTGACAGTCATTTCAAAGCTAGGTGGTTATTGTAGGAATTCTGTGGAAATGGAATGAGTAATACGTGGGCTTTAGTTTACAGAATTATATTTAGTTTGGTTAAAGAAAACAGCTATATTTTCATTTTCTGGAAGCATATAATGAATACACATGACAGTGAAATGGAACTAACTCAAGTGCAGACTAAAGATGCCTTTGCTGATCACTATAGACATAGGCAACCATAATTAAGAGCACAAGGCAGTAGCAAACTGACTGCAAGCTAGCTGCATCACATCACTCTTAGCACACTTGAGTGGGTTCTGATGACACAACACTTGCTACACCACAGGCTAGTATGTGCAACAACTGCTTTGTTACAAGACTAGGACAGCTTTATGTGGCGTGGCCTCCCTGCAGGGCTCTTGTGGACCAAAGTCGAGCGAGGCCCCTTGAAGTGCACACCACACTGCTGTATGCGGATCCATTACATTAAACAAGACAGGTGTGGGTCCAGAATTTCACCAGGCCTCAAGTATAACACCTGTATGAGGTCAAGGCCCAGGGGAAAGACGGGCAATTCTTTCCCTTCGCGTTAAAATTAGCCTTTGGAAGTGGAGGTGGACGTTTTAAAAGATCAATGTCAGGGCTTACTAAAGGAAGCATCTGCTTCATCTCGAGTCAGTGCATATAGTGAACCAACACATGCACAGATATAACATCATAACCATGTTTCCCTAGCATAGAGCAAGAGGTGATTCTCCCCTCCTCTTCCCCCACAGCTATTCTCTCCCTTCAGCCCAGCTCTTGCTTTTTAAGGGCAGAAGTGTTCACTGCAGCTTTGGCCTTTAAAGCCTTCTAAACTGGTTTGTAAAATGTGTCAAATATGTAGTACACTTGATCTGGTGTGTCAAGTACAGATGGATTAAAGGTGGGTACAGAAACAATAGCTGTTACATTTGGGGATAGGAGGAAACAGGTCCCTGATTATCTGAGAAAGCAGGAAATGAATTAGAAAAACTATTTTTAGTAGAAAAAACAAAAAGTATGTGCCTTAAAGGAAGACTTCTAATATCTTTTCATCCTGCAAAAGAGCTCAGGATAATTTTTCTCAGTGCAAAAGTCTCAAATATTTAAAATTAGAAAAAGAAAAAAAAACCCATGTTGATATTATCCTTTGTGGCTACTATAGACTTGTTTACTTGTTCTTTTATTATTTTTCTGTCCAGAAGTGTATGTAAGTTGTCTCAGTTATTGAACTCTTTGGAAGCAGACCTGTTTTGCCCATATGTGAGTGGGCAGTCTCTGTACACTGTCTGATGGGTTTAACTGCAGAATTCCAGTCTTAACCTGAGGGTTTTGCACAAATCTCAACTAATGGCTCCTTCAAAGTGACTGTACCTTCTGTGGCTGCTGGAATGATATTAATCAAACAATCCAATAAAAACTTAAGATCAAGGACAAGAAATGCTTTTCTCCAGCATGGGGATGTTAAACACAAGTTTGCTGTTCTGAGAAAGTGTAAAATTGTTTTCTCTGGATATTTAAAAATGTCAAATGCTCATATAAGCCCTTTCCTTAGTTACTAAATACGATCCTGTCTAATGGGTACGCATGAAGACCACAGGATAACTCACCAATAGAAAATGAGGGAAAATGTTATTTTAAATCTGAAAATATCTTTTTTTAAAAAAAATTTGTTAGGTGTAATGTGAAAAATAAAAAATCCTGGACTGGGAATCAAAGATGAGGTTTTCTTGATTTGAGGGGTAACTGGTTTTGATTGATTAAGATGCTTAGTTTTGCTGCATTTCAATTTCTAATAAGCCAGTAGTAGTAGATAAACTTGAAAGCCCATTTCAAATTTGATTGAAACATTAAATCAGAATCTTATATTAGTTTTTGGGTTATCATTATAAAGAGCAAGTACCTTTCCAGAATAAGGTAAAAATAATCCTCGTTTGTTTCTGATTTTTACATGAAAGTTTTCTATATTTCCAAAGAGTTGTTCATAAGTCTTTGGCTAGTAGAAAAAAAATTTTGAAAAAATTTTTTACATTAAATGAAGTTTATTTTGTCATTCACTGGGATGATACAAAGAGTTTTTTTTTTTTTTAAGTCCTTATCAATCAATTCTCTTATGGTTTAAACTCTCTCTTCAACTGACAAATGGATAACAAATGACAAAGGAGTGAAAGAGAAATTCTGGTTAAAGTATTTCTCACTGGAATGAATAATAATAGAAATTTTTTTTCAAATTTCAAAAGCAAATTTTCTGAAATTGTATCTAAAATTTAAAGCCCAGGGTTTATCATCATTTACCAATATTAGTAAAGAATTACAGCTGATTGTCAAAATATTAGTATTATGCTACATTAGGCAGTGTTTGGTTCTATGGCAATGCATTCTATTACTTATCTTCCTTCAGAGATTTGACACAAAAATAGAAAATGCCATCGTGCTTCTATTATTTCAAACACATGTGTATGGAATTCAAAGCCAGAAGTTTAAAAGGAATACTTTTACTAATAATATATATGTGGTGGTAGAGAAAAGTTGTTACATAGCACAAAAAACATGAAATAAGTATCCACCTCTGGCAACCCCAATGGCACAGAGTAAGCTGTCAACCGAGCATGCAGCAGTGCATTTCTGTGCATCTTACCCAGGCTGGCTCCTCCTTTTGCCTTGGTCAGACAGACTGTTTTAGAAGTCTGCTGGAGCCAACTGCCCAGAGCTGTGGTACTGCACTCTCAGGGCATCTCTGGACCACATTAGGAGGTCCCTCCCAAACTCAATGCCTTTCTCTGTACTGGTACCATAGAAATGGTGGGAATATTGAAGAACACAGGTGATGTCAGGGAAAGGAGCCTCTCAGTGATAATTAACATAAGACAGCCCAGAAGGCTGAAATAACGCAGGGAATGTCCTCTAGGAGAGCAAACAGTGACAAAGCAAGGAAAAAGGAGGCAGATCACCAGCCACTGGCGCCAGCCAATGAGCAAGAAAAGCAGCCGAGACCTGTCAGTAATAGCATTATTCTATTGGTGGCTGTAGGACAGACAGGGAGGGAGCCCTTGGGAGCCGGGACCCGTAAAGTCTTCCCGAAGCAGGTTTTGTACAGATGCTCACTACTCACTTAAGAGAGCTTGACCTGCACTAAAAACTCCACACGGCATGTTCATTTCCTCATGGCAGTGTCTTTCACAGTCAAATCAAATACCTCCAAGAAATACACAGTTCCTTCTCAATGCAGAAAACAAGTTGCCATTTTAAATTCTGAGCCAGAATCAATGACCTAAATCCTTACTGATGTAGCTATTGACTCTGAAGACAGTGGGTTGGAATTTACCTTAGGCTGGGTGAGACTGTTAGAAACATTTTACTCAGTGGAATTGTGGGTCTGGGAAGGAAACATGGAAGATTTGAAACATATAGTTTTTGTAATAAAAGAAGGAAACATATTGTGAGAGAGAATTATCACAGAAGCAAACACGTTGGATAAAAGTAAAACTGGTTTCATATGAGTGAGAAACTAAGTGTGGAAACTGTCAAAGACTCAAAAACCAAATGCTGGGTATTTCTTTACAACCATCTTTGATTTTTTTCAATTAAAAATACTATATTGTATTATATTTGGAAAATGTAAAATGTGGAATAATGTTTTTGAAACTTCTAACTATTCAATGTTGGTGGTTTGGTATATTTCTTTTTAAATTGTTTTCTATTCATTTTTTCATATCTTTTACTGGGTGCATAGTTTGTCCCCTAACATTTCTTTTATGTTGCAAGCTCTTTGGAAACATACTTAGTTGCATAATAAGCAATGATTTCCTATTATTACATTTGTAATAATTTTTTCCAGAGTAAATGACGCTGCCATGAATGTTTATGCACATAGTTATTTTCTATATTCAACATTACTTGCTTAGACGAGTCACAGCAGCATGACTGACAGTGTCAATGGGTTACAAACTCCGTAAGGCTTTTTAAATATTGCTAAATTATGGACAAAATGACAGCAACTTAAATATGACAGATACTTTAAAAAAATAAAGGATTGTATGACCAAGTCTCAGGAACTGTGGCATTCAGGAACAAATAAATGGATTTGGAATTTCTATCCCACCACAGAATATTTACTTTGGTATGTAAAACATTGTGGACAGGAAGAATGACAGATATCACAATTGGGATTCTGTAGTACACCACTTTGTGCTGTCAGTTTTGGTGTTTTTTGCTCCCATTCTCATATACACAATATTTCACTGATTTTAGACACACATTCCTCCCCACAATGAGCACAGCTGAAGCAAAGCATCAGTTCAATTGACAGTAATAGCCTTTTTTTTTGTCAGTAATGTGCAAAATAATAATACATCCAACAACTGATGGCATATTAATTTAATGAAACACGGTAATTCTAGCTGGGGTATATGGGTCATATTTTGTTCCCTGCATTTGTATGGATCTCATTTCCTATATTTGGCACAAGCGTTATATAAATTCTGGGTCCAGAAATCAAACTAGTAACAGCAATATAGTGTAATACATACTGTGTGAGGAAGATGAACTCAAGTAGAGTTGGGTGCAAAGGCTGCCTTAGTCTTATATACTATGGTACGTGATTTTGATGTTCAGGGTATTACATAAAACAGACATGAAATTATAGCTGTAATAAGGTTGTCTATGAGGGGTAGATTCTGCATAAATTATCCTGCCCTACAAGCTGAAGCCCAATCACTATGCTGTCTTTTGGGTGTGAAAGTTAATTTAAGTTTCATGGGCATAAATTAAGAAAGTTTTATACGTGTTTGTATACATACAGCTTGTGGAAGTAGTATTATTTTAGAAGAGGAATTCATTTAACTGTCTAGCCTTCCATGATGTTAGTCACCCAAGGCAGGTAATGATTTATGCTCAACATGGAGTAAAGAATAATTTCAGGTGTTTCATATGCTATGTGACTTCTAAATAGCTGACAGAAATGGCGGCGTTGATAGATATACTTGAACACCTCATTGAAAAACAGCACTCTGATCATTAGAAATATATCAAATAGGACTTATATCAAATAAAAGATAAGCTTTAAAGTGTGAGGCTACAGTTATATACCATCTCTCTCCTACCTCCCTTTTCTGTGATGAAGAAAAGGGAGGTGATGAAGAAGATAACTGGGGATTTACCAAGGACACTTGCATGTGGACCAAGAATGCCTCAGGCTACCTTAAAACCACACTGTGATGTGAAGTTGAATACATATAAAAATATAGTCACAGCGCAGAAGGCTGCACGTACTCAAGCTATTTCATGTTTCTTTAATCTTAAGTGCTGTAGTAAAGAAAATAGATTTGGCTATCAGATGGTTGCATTAGTTGGCCTCCACCTTCATCCTCTTTACCTGGTTCATTCTTTTAAACATGCTGTGAGGACTGCAAATTCCAGGGTCGACATCCAGGCTATGTATTACTTGGTGTTTATCAGATGCTGTTAACTTTTCCCTTTTGAGACTATTAAAACTCTGCTCTTGACCTCCATGATCATCACTCCTCAATTCCTTGACTGCTCCTTCTGAGGCTCCAGCAAACAATGCTTTTTCTTAGTCTATTCTTAAATATTAACGTTCTCTATGACAAACAGAACCAGTATCACTGAACCTCCTTTATTCAGGTTGGAAACGCAATTCATCAACATCTGTAACTTCAGGGACCTACTGTAGTACCCACATCTTTCTCTCCTGAGCTAGAGACCTGTGTAGCCAACTGTCTGCTGGATGATCCACAAAAACACCCATAATGTATTTCTTTCTATTTTTTTTCTTTTTTTATGGTACCAGGGATATTTTTTTTTTTTTTTTTTTTGGTACTGGGGATCAAACACAATGTATTTCTGACAAACCAGTTCCTCTTGTTCCCTTTCTTGGGGGAAAGAATTATCACATACCTAGGTATCTAAGTAAAAATCCTGGACTTGACTCTCTCTAACATTCAGCTGGTCTCCCAGCAATCACTCCTCCTCAGTATCTCTGAAATTCATCCTTTCTTCTATCAATGCTGGTATCTTCTTAGTTCAGGAATCTTATTGCAAGCATCCTTAACACATTCTTGAATTATTCTAAATAATAAGAGTCTGCTCAACTGGTTTTGCTTCAATTTCATTCAATCTCATATCACGTCAGGCTAATCTTTCTAACATAGAGAATCATGCAGTAATTCCAACATCTAGCATTATCAATATCCAGGTAAATTCAAGTCCTCTCCATCACCAACTGGACAAATCCAAACTCTTTTGTGCGCACTCTGATGAGCTGGCTCCTACCCACTTATCTATTCCTAGAGTAACTTCCTTGTTCACTCCGTTCTTCAGTCACCTCTCCAGTGATCTAATCATGGATAGTGATTCATTATATAAAACTAAACTATCATTAAACTTGAATGTCTAAGCAAAGACTGTAGTGATTTCTAAAATACAATCCAGCCTCTAGGTGGTCTGGTGGTCAGTGGAAGAGTGCCTGCCCAGGTGAAGGGTATGGGTGGATGCAAAAATGTGAACACAGTTAAAATGCTGTGGTAATACCCAGTTTCAAGCACCAAACTGATGCTTGAGGACGGTATGCAACAGTCTTTAGAGTGCCAAGTGATTTTCTTGAGTCCTTTGGCTAAAAGACATAAATGAAACAAACCAAAAACCCAACAAAAATCTACTGAGGCCTTTACTTTAGATGTAAATAAATATGTTTTCACAAAAGTGGGAAATATTTTAACCCAAAGAAAGCAAGTTTATATAATTTTGATTTCTTTTAGCTTTTATTGTGTTAGCAGTAGGTACTTCCTAGTATTCTGGAATTCAGAGCTCTGGTTCTGCTCTCAGTGAGGAATCTGTCATTCTTCTGAACAAATGGAGCCTTAGAAGCCCACATGACCATACACTGCTGTGGATACTGCAGTGCGGTCCCTTCTATACTGTGACTTGGGTAAATGATGCTCATTTTCCCAATCAGATCATGAGCCTCTTGGGGACCAGACACATGATGTTCCATTATCTTACACAATACCTGGTATACAGTTATTTGACCAAAAGAATGAACAAATGAGTAACTTTTAAAATTTCTCTAATCACTTCTAATCTCACCTGAAGCTCCAACCTAGATCTCTAGCAATGATTCTTGCCAAAAAGCAAAGAAAAGCAAGCAAGCAGCAAGCAAGAAACAGACTTTCTTATTTTTCTTAGGATAGTTTTGATTTACATCCCTAAGCTTTCATCATTAAACACATATTATAACACTGCAACATTTAGGGCACCACGAGTGTATTTTATGTGTTCACAAGAGAACATCTGTATGTTTGACTATTATTTTGATTTTTCTGATTGATGATACTTTCAGAATAAGATTTGTAAGCTCAACTAATATCAACTGAGCCTGAAAAGCTCTGTAACATGAGACGAGTCCGGGGAGAACCCTTAAGAGCTCTGGAGAGTGACCCCCTCTGCGGGCTGGGAGGACAGTGCCGCAGCAATGCGCATGCTCCTGAGCCCCAGGCGGGCTTAGCACTGGAAGCAGCGTGCACCCCGGTGAACGCAGGAGGTGTGGCCAGGTAGCAGCAAACCAGGACGCAAAACTTAACACTGAAAGTACGCTGACGATTGAAATACAGAAGACATAGCGATGCAGTTTACATCTGATTTCTAGGGACTGAAGTCACTTATTCAAGCAGGATCTGACCCACACGGAGACCCACTTACCCAGGATTTGCTTCCTCCTTCACTCTGATCCAAGGCACCAGGAAGTGAACAATATTTCATATAAACACAGAGTTCTCACACAAAATCATACATCAGCATTGAATTCTTAAAGGGACTAAAATAAGTGCATTTATGGACTAACTGATGAAAACGTTCCTTTCAGAGGAAGTGCTCAGTGTAAAAAGACATAAAGCAAAATTTTAAAGGATTTGTATCAGAAGGCTCAATTTTGATTTTCAATAGGGACTTGATTAGTGTTAACATGATCAACTAATACATACATATTGAAATACAAAAGTCTAGCTTCAGGAAACATATCTTAGAAAGAGAATCCCAAAGCAGCAAGTCAGAAAAGGAAAAAAACAACAAGGAACGATAAATTCATAGTAATTACTAATTTTCAACAGATTAAAATCTAAACAGAAAAAAATTATGCGTGGAAGAGTTAGTAGATTTTGTTCTATTTACCAATGGACTGAATGTTCTAAAATATATCTAAGTGTAAATCATGTATATATATATAAGTGGGTGTTTTAAAAAAACAGGGCTGCCTTATAAATGATTTAGGCATTAAGTATTTAACTAATCAAAGTAACAGTTGGATGTGTGCAAGCAAGTTTGGTTTATTTTCATTCCTACCTGGACAGTTTTGGGAAGAAAGATAACCAAGTTCAACAGTGGCACTGCAGCGTCTTGAGAGAACATCAGAGGAAGGGACCGTCCCAGGACCGATGCTTCCACCCCCGCCTTGCCTAACAGAGCTGGGAGCGTGTCACACACATAAGAACAAACACTCTCTTTACCTGAGACAGTGACTGCCGCAGCCGGGCCATCTGCGTGTTGTGGCCTTTATTGTGATCTTGCTCGGAAACCATCTGCTTCAGCTTCTCTTTTTCTATAGCTATGCTATTAAACGCTGACTTCAAAAGAGAATGCACTGGATGGGCAGAAAAGCGAGAAACAAATCTTTAGTGTATCCAGAAAGAATATCCAGTATGATGAAAGCCTCAGGATTTTAACTCGTGCCTAGACATTTTCTGGAAAAGCTATGTTGAGGTCTAATTAAAAACTAGGCTGAGAATGAAATGCACCAGGGTATTGTATCTATACTCAAAACAGAGATGGCAATGATAATGAATTAGGGTGAACATTTCTGCATTTCATACCAGTCAAACCAACCAAGATTTGGAAATGCCACATACCAATTCTAAATATCCCTATGTAGAAATTAATTGACAATCCACAGTTTACTTGCTGTAGTTGATAATATTTTGCACAGTCCTCTCTGTAGCATAAAGTGTCACACAAGTCATTTAGACTTAGTCAAAAATTATTTCCCCAAGTACACACTCTAAAAGAGCATTTTCTGAATCCTATCAACACAAAACAGACAGCTGATGCGAAGTTCTGACTGCTTTGCTTGGAGGCAGGAAATGACTCGGCCTTAAGAACAGCACTTGGCTGCTTCCTCAGCCAGGAAGGTCTTGATGCCAAAGGTGCCTGGCTCTAAAGGCAGCACCATCACCTGCCCCATTTCCTGTGTACTTCGAAACTTACATGGTAGAAATCCAAAGTAGGTTTTCATCCTGAACTACAAAAAGCTAACTCCTATTTTCTTACAAAGTTTCTATACCATGCAATGTTTCTGAGCTAAAACAGGTATTTTCCAATTTAGGAAAAGTTATTTCTAAAGGAAATAGAAAATTTTAGCTCAAAACATAGTGGCTTGAATTAAATGGGGGAAATGGCAGGATTCCAAGGATGAACCAACAACCTGGTCCTTCATGCACAATGTACAGGTGGGAATCACTTAGAGCTGGAACGCGTTAACCCTGCTAGTGGCTCGAAAAGCAGACTCCTCAACTCATTTTAAAATTTTTCATGCTTTCCAGGCAGCCACGCAACACTCATGGAAAGGTTGTTTACTTTTGTAGCTTAGAGGTTATGTGTGTCTGTTGAAAACATTTTCAAGGGAGGCTGCAAAACTGTTGAAACCTGGATTTCCTAAAAGCTTCAGGATTGTGAACAAACAGAGAAGGCTTTCCTGGGGCTGCCTGCAAATCAGGCCACCTCCTGGGAACAGCTGTGCTGTACGCATACTATTAACTCTGGCATTTGCTGTCTTAGTCTATCAGCTGCTGCCCCCCAGTAGTAAAAATTACAGGTTGTGAATTTATGGTGTTACAAGAACAAGATTATTCCTGTAGCCTAATAACATAATTAGCAGCCAGTTAAAAATACCAGTAAAACTGTATTTGTTAGGAGTAAAAAGGCAGGTGAAGCAGAGTTGACTTTACAGTGTATCAACTGACAAATATATAGAAAAAAAGGGTAAAAATGATTTTGTCTCATTGTTTTAGAATTATAGAATTAGTATCTGACTATGTGTTACATACTTATCTCTCAAATACCCAGTATCTGTAATTTAGAGTAGCATAGTAAGAAGAAAGTTGACTTATCAGCACTCGGGAGGCTGAGGCAGGAGGATCACTATGAGTTAGAAGCCGGTCTGGATTACAGAGTGAGTTCAAGGCTGCCTGAATTGCATAGTGAGACCCTGTCTCAGAAAAAAAAAAAAAAAAAGCTAATTTAGAGGCCAGGGCTCTTCGAGAAGTCAGTTAAGAAGTCAACCATCTTTGCTTATGGTATGAGGTTGTAAGTTTTTGTTGAGTTCAACATTCCCAGGGATGCCTACACTCTTTCTTTTCCTGAAACTTCAGGTTCTTGAGTATCAGGGGGCACATAAGAGGTGCCATTTAACTGTCAAGGACATTTTATAAATTATCACCAGTAGCCCCAGGGAAAATAAATTCACTGCAAGGTGTTACTGACCAAAAACAACACAATGTACATCTCTCAGGAGATTTCAAGAGCCCTGAGAAGGTACCAACATTCTAAGTCAAATGATGAATGTCACCAGCTGTGAGTAACACACCTCAGCAGGGAGAGGGGAGTTAATCTGGGAGCGATACTAACAGGGCTACCCCGTCCTTCTGTATTCTACTGTCTTGTTTCTTACTTATTATACCTTCCTCTCTGGAGCTGGTAACAGTTAATTTACACAATGATCCTTATTGAAAACTTAGTACCCTTTCCCATTCCCTCAGCTCTGGGCTTGCATATGATGCTCTGACCAGTTTCCGGTCAGAGACTCTGAAACCCTTCCAGAGCTGACCCTTCCAGAGCTGACTTTGAAGAGAACTAGCAGCTTCCACCTACCCGCTCTTGGAGCCCAATCACGGAGGGACAGGAGGAGGGGCACCGTCGTGGGCAGCCTTCCAGCTGTCCCACAGATAGGCCAGGCACAAGAAGGAAACCGCTTTGCGTCTTTCAGCTCAGCCCAGCCTCTGGCCAAGCACTGCTGATTGAGCCTGGCCCATGACACATGGTGCAGAAGCTCGGATCTCAGCCGAGCCCTGCCTGAATTCCTGACCCAACGACTGTAAAGTATAGAAAATGAATATTGTGTTTAAATTAAGTCAAACAGAATGTTTTTTCTTGCAAAGGATAAGCAATAAGTATGTATTAAGAAGATTTTTCAAAAAAGATGCTGGTAGCATCCAACTGGACTGCTTAGGATAATCTTTTTCTCTCTCCACCTCCATGACACTCTATTCAGTCAAAACTGAGACCTGCCAGGTGTGTTCTCCCAAGAAGTAGGAACGTCTTCCTGTAGCATTTTGTGTCTACAAGTCCCACCAGCATATAAAACAATTTCATCTCCTACCATTATTACCTAATGAAGATAAAAGAATAGATCTCTTATCAAACAATGCTCTCATCAAAGAAAAGATTTTCTTTAAAGAGCGCATTGCATTTGCTGTTACCTTTCTGTGCAATTAGACAAAATTCTTCCTGCAGCTTTGTATAATCTGTTGAACTTTCCAAAGGGTCAGTGAGGTGGCTGGGGGGAGTCTGAAATTCAATATCTGCACAGAGGTTGGGGTTGGAGGAATGCAAGCGAACTGGTGACATGGTGGCACTGAAAGGGACCTGAAAGGAGAAACACAAATTATTAAACACAAACACAGTGCCCTGATCAATCTTCCCCCACACAGAAAAGATCCCTCCTATTCTTTAAAATAATAGAATCCTCTCTGATGACATGCATGGAAAGGCTCAGTACTCATTTATTTTGCAAGTAGCTGGGCTGGGTAAAGAGAGCCTCATTTTCCATAGTTGGTTTAGACTGTCTTGAACTCACTGGGTTTTCTCTGTTTACATCTACAGATTGACAGGAAGAAAAGGCATGATTCACTTCCACTCTGAATCCACACTTGTACAGAAAAGAATCACTGGCTGAAAGCTGCAGTCTGAACTGTGATACCAGTGATCTTCTCTTACATAGTTGGGGCACTTACGTCATAGGACTGTTTTACATTCACCTTTCTTGGGGAGCAGGATCTTACTAAATATGTAAAAAATTTGAGATAGTATATGGAAAGATTCACCTGCTTCCAGCCATAAAATAAAATAAAAATGAAGTTTAATAGGAAATAAATGGTCTAAAGAGATTCACAATTATTTTTGGAAATAAATTTACTAAAATGTGTGGAATATATACTATATAAATGACTGTAATTTGCTTTTCTATGTTACATTCTACTGTTATCTATCTGTCTGTCTATCTATCTAATGAACTGGCCAGTGGCCAAAAGCAAAATGTAGACCATGGCTAGAGATACTCCTGGTCCAGCTAGCTCTGGACTAGGCCTACGACGGATAGAAGAAAAGCATCTTTTTTTCCCTCTTCAAGAAGGTTCTACCTCAGCATTACAAATGCTGTTGTCCAAGCATTCTTAGAAAAATGAAATACCAATTCTTCTTGCAAGCCAGATCACCAGTAACTTTTCCTTAACTGTTCCTCTATAGATGTTCATCAGTCATCTTCAAGAACTGTAGTCCAGACTCCACCCAAAGCTAAATGTGGGATAACTGAAAGGATAATTCTCATGGCATATCTAACAGGAAACATGCTATAGCGAGGAGCCACACCTGACCCCGAGATAATGTCCTCTCTATTAAATGTGGGACACCTGTATGCTAAGAAGAACTACATAAGTTAACGAATAGCTAAGCTGAACACAATGGAGTCTTAAATTGGCTGTTAAAACAGTAAAAGTGGTTTCATACATTCTTCACAGGGAAAGGGATCTGGAATGTCCCATTCAAACTGCAATTAGTTTCCTAGGAAACTGAAAACTAATTTTTATGTACTTCTGACTAAAGATGTTAATATTGATATCTTTCTTGTTAACAGAAGTGTGTTGAATGGGTCATTTTAATTCAGAAATTCAAGAAATAAAATTGAGAATACAAATTGGCGTGTATTAATCTATCTAATTGAATACTTCTTTAGCTTGAGGCCTTATTTACTCAGGTTTTCACTCAGCCATTTGGATATTACATGCTTCAAAATTTAAATGGTAGCTGGTTTCTCTGTCGGTGATGGTTGGCATGGGAGCTACCTGCGGCTCTCCAGGTTTATACCTGGAAACGCTTAAAGCTGGATTTGGGCCTTTTATCTTGCTCAGGAAATAAATCCAAGGCTCCCTTGAAATCCCGTGATTGGGAGGGAACCTGGTCCTAGCACACCCTGGGACCAGTAATTGTGGTTTGGAGTGAGGACACTAGGAGATTCTCTTAATTTGTTTATGAAGAAGTGAAAAGAGAAGCAAATTAAGAGTAGAACTGTTGGTTCCAAAATTTTGCAATAGTGAACATGAAAGAAAGCTCAGAGAGAAGTCCAACCTAGATCGCAAGCCTAGAGAAGTTATGGAGCCAGTGGGGACAGTCCCTGCTCTTGTCTTCCCCGTCACACGTACTGGGATCCCTTGAGAGGCACTGCCTGCTCTGGATCCTCAGTGCTCTTCCAAGGGGGTGGGGAGGACCAGAGTTTCTGGTTCCAACCTCCTGTTCTGTGGGTCTGAGCAGCAGCTGAAGAAGGCCACTCTGAGTTAAGGATCAACCAGAATAAACGTTGGAAACACTTTTCTTTGGCATAATCTCATTATGTCACAGATACCAGAGGGGGAGAGGAAAGAAGTAACTCAGAATCATTTGGGAGGATTCTACGTAAAGGATTCTGGCAGCGAAAGAGAGGGTCAGATGCAAAGTCATTAAATCAAAGTAGGAATTAAGGGCAACTACTGCGTAGCCCTCAGCTTCAGGATCCTGGCAGGAGGGTGAGGGGCTGCGGGACCCAGCTGGTGGCCCTGATCAGTGCTGCTGATGTGCTGGGAACTTCCAGGCTGCAGATCCTAGGTGGCTTAGAGTAGCCACTCCCTTGATTTACTCCTGAAAACATTATTATATGTTACCAGTAGGTTTTCTCATGAGACACTTTTCGGTAATTTCCTAACTTCTGCAGTCACAGCTAAATTGGGATATGGGTTAATGATCTTTTTCTTTAAACTCTGTCTACCTTCCATTTAAAAAAGATAAATGTATTCTATTCAAATAGGTGCCAATCCGAGTTTTATTACATTCATTGCATGTATCTGTAGTTTTAAAAATTAACATGGGAGAAAGACAATTACTTCTTCACATGTTATTTTAAAAGTACATTATATAAGAAAACTGTTTTTAAAAAATGAATGATCTTCTTGTTGACTTTTGTCTACTTTTGAAGACCTACAATGTCTCCAATGTTTTGGTTTTGTCGGTTTTGTTCTTTATTGTTTTGTTCAATTGTATTATAACTAATGATATAGGCAATTCTATTAGAGATAGCGGGAGGCATTATGGTAACCATTGTTGATCACCTTGTATTATGTTTTTACATTATCTATTATGTCCACCCTTTTAACTTGACCGATTCTGTTCTGTTATGTCACATTTGGTTTTACTCTCTTCCAAAAAAGTAATAAGAACCGTGGGAGCAATGAAACCCAAAATATGTAATAGTCATGGTACAAAAGAGAAGAAAAGAAAGTGCTCCAAACTATATAACTGCATGTATATTTAAGTGTATAAGATAGAAAATGATATCACAGAGTTTTATTGGATCAATGAACAGAACTGTTTGCAGTATCATTGATGGAATGTCCACTTTACAAGCTCTAATTTTGTGACTTGAACAATTATTTCTAAGATGACAATATGTAATCCATTAAAAAAAAAAAAAATGAATGATCTTTTTTTTCCCACACTGTGATGTTGTTTTCTAATAATCATTTGGGCTTTTTAATTTTATAAATGAAAATTACAGAATTATGTAACTAACTATAAAATTAAGAATTATGTAACTAACTATATATGTATCTGTCAGAATTTGTTGCAATGTATTAATCAATGTATTAATACAATCAATGCCTTGGATTTATTTCCTGAGCAAGATAAAAGGCCCAAATCCAGCTTTAAGTGTTTCCAGGTATAAACCTGGAGAGCCGCAGGTAGCTCCCATGCCGACCATCACCGACAGAGAAACCAGCTACCATTTAAATTTTGAAGCATGTAATATCCAAATGGCTGAGTGAAAACCTGAGTTAAATAAGGCCTCAGGCTAAAGAAGTATTCAATTAGATAGATTAATACATTGATTAATGTCCAGCACATCGATGTCCAGATTTACTTATCTGCATTTGAAAATGCATACTGACCATGAAAGCAATTTCAATAATTTATTGGCTCAAATGTCTACAAAAGTGTGAATTTAAGAGTCAGTTCCCTAACAAATTCCATGTCACTGCTTGTCTCAATGATTAAAACCAATTCTGTTCCTCAAATAATCCAACTAAACACCTATATATAAAGCCAGAGATAATTACCAAACAAAGTGGAAAGCTAATAATTTTCATACCAGTAGCCATTTTCCTACAATGCAACTAAAATCTTCTATTTTTCACCAATTCTACTCTTAAAATATATCCCACCTTCGGCAAGAGCAAGATTATTGCTCATTTAGGAAATATGTAATAGTCAAAAAACCAACACCCGTAAGTGCTTTAACCTGAGCTAAACCTCCAACAACAATAATATATAACTTTACAAGCTCACAGACTTTCATGATGAAGCAAATGTGTAGTCTTATGATTTACTTCTATTCAGTAAAAGGTCTTTTGTTTTTCTTCCTGAGGAAAAGTCTTGCTCTGTTGCTCAGGCAGGACTTGACCTAGTGGGGTAAAGTCATCTTCCTGCTTTCCTGCCCACAAAGGGTTCTTGTGTTTAGACATCCTAATAAATATTCTGCATGGCTACTCAACATACTTTGCTTTATCTACCTCAATACATTCTCTACTCTCCTTATATCCTTTCTAATGACAAAAACATCCTTGGAAATGGATTAAATATCCTCTTAGCATATTTTCACATCAGTATTCTTTCCAGAAAACAATTTTCCCTTGCTCAGTCTTAATTTGGATAGCCATTTAGACATGACATCAAAATACACCTTTTCTTACCCTCTCATTTCTTTCTCACATCCTTTTCAAATAGTCACATTGCTACAAAAAAAAGCATAATGTAGGTCTGTAGTAACATGACTTTTCTTAGGAAAACAGTAATCAGCAAAGGTTCCAATATCAGTATGGAAGAAAATTTAAAAAACAAAACAAACAGAAAAACAACGCTTAGGATTTAAAAAGATCCTCCACTATGGGGCTCTGCACCCAAGTTTTGCAAAGTCGAGTTGAAGTTGAGTCTAACGCATTTCTCACAGGGAGAGCAGAAGTGAGACACAGGACCACGTCACAGTTCTCCACCCGTGTCCGCCTCCTGCCATGCAGAGGCAGCCAGAGCGCATGCGCAAGCGATGCACGCGCGTGGCCACAGCGGACGCCGCTGTGCACGAGTGTTACCCTTGCACACGGTTTCTCATTAAACTTCCACTGGAGACTGAAGTCCACTCACTGTGGTAGCCACTGCTGCCGCTAGCCTCTGCCGGCGCCGGGTTGCGCTGAACTGGCCCTTCGCGGGTGGCCCTTCCTGACAGTGAATGGGAGAAGAGAAGGGAGCGGAAACACGGGGTGGGAGGGGCAGGCGGGGCGAGGGAGGGCGAAAGATAATCAGACAAGGGCCAGGGAGAGTTTTTAACCCAAGTTGACTTTTCTTTAAAGAATCAAAACCAAAAGCAAAAACCAAAACCCTCAGCAGCGAAAGGGACATTCAGGTGAAAAATGATGTCACTCTGATCGCGGAGTCACTTCAACCCTGCTCGAAAAGGAAGCGGAGGGTCACGACCGGATGCACAGCCTGCGATTTTAAGGTAAAATAAATATGCATACTGTTTTATTCATACGATGTCATATTACATCAATCCAAAGGCATCCAATAAATGGCAGCAAAGAAAAAAAAAAAACACATTTGGGGAAAGCCGATTATCTAATGTGCAAATATGAAAATGAACAGTTTGCCGTGACAGCCTCCTATTGGCCAGGCAGAATTTTGTTTTAAAATTTTATTTCTTATTGGGAGAAAAATAATAAGGAGGTTACCAGTATTCTCCAACGTCCCAATTAATCCCCTACCATAAAGCTTCCTCACTGATATTCAATATTAGAGGACTGGCATTTTCAAAATTTTCCAAGGAAGAAGCCAGTATAGGATAAAAAAAAATAGTGAAAAAAAAATCTCAACTTCTCAGTATGTGGAGATAATGCCTAAGGGGGAAAAAAAATCAGCTATGAAAAACTGAAAGCAAAGGTTTCATTGGTAATGTGAACCTCTGCATAAACCAGTAGAAGAATCCTAGAGCCTTCTCCCATTGTCCTCTTCTTGGTGGGTAGGTTTAAAGAATTTATTTCCTTCAAACCACTCTATTCCACCTGACAAACACTGAGTTTTCAAGGTTGTGAACAGGAATTTCATTGCCAATTAACTAAGATGAGCTTTCTTAGAATAACCTAACAATCTATACTGAAAAAACAGTATGAGCGTTTTCCTCCATAGAGAATAACAGAAAAATACTGTAAAATTTTAAATCTCTGACCTCTTTAACTTTTCCAAATCATTCGTAGGTCTTTTCCATCTTCACAGATCTGCATACATGTATGTCACACACACACATACACACATACATGCACACACACATAATCTGTTCTCCACACAAGGTTTTCTGTATAATAGAATCCCTTTGTACTTAATGTAATAAAAAGAATAACTCATTTTTACCATTTCCTCCAATGTCTAGGAATCAGGTACTTAACTGATGCTATTAGCAAAACAGGAAATTTAGCAGAATAGTCTTCTACAGCACACCTTTAAAACTGTTTCTTTCTTGCCTTATAACACAGCCAAATTGTTATTACATAATGATACCTACTAATAGAACCAGAAAATTATTACTATTACTGGTTCTATTACTAATAGAACCAGAAAATTAAAAATTTAGGAGACAGGAAGTTCATTTGCTAAAAGGTAATCCCACAGCACATTCCAGGACAAATGTTGACTTCATATTACACCATAGACTCCTGACTCCAACTATCCATCCAATAGCATCTAGTAGAAATATAGCCATATAGGTCCAGAATGTAACCTTCACATTTGAGACAACGGCAAGATCTAACCTATATGAAAATAAGCAATCAAATACCCAGTATAACACATTCTTCATTTTTATCGTCCTTAAGTCAGTCTTTAAAATGATCTGTTTTATAATTACTTAAAAATGACAACTATGATAGAGTGTTGAATGCAAGGCTCACAGACACAACAGCAATAATAACCAAGACCACAACCACCAGTAGCAGACCACTGGGTCCTTCACAAAGGCCAAGGAACTAAAAGACGCACACCACAGAGGGGATGGGGAGTGAGCTGTCACCACCTGAGAGGCTCCCAAGTTGGCTGCAACAAACAGTCATCAGGGAAAATGAGACGATAATAAGCTTATACCCCATACATGTCATTACTAAATGGAATCTCGACAGTTAAAAGCATCTAAAATAGGAGGAAAAAATCTGGGGATTATGGTGGGCAGCAAGTGGGAGTTAAGACTCAATCTAGTAGAGTAAAACTAAATCCTGTGCCTTCTGTAGTGCAAATACTGCTAATTAATGAGGTTCCTGGTGCCCAGGTGTGATGCATACTGAAGACACTTGGGGAAAGTTCCCAGTCACAGAGAATGAGCATCTTGGCGGCTCCTGGAACACCTGGTGGCCTTAGGTGAGCAGAAAAGGTCCAGGGATGGTACCAAGTTCTGCATCATTTCTGCCCTCCATATGCTTCGTTTCAGTCCAAGTGAAAGTGGATTTTCTTGTTGCCACAGGAAGTCTATTATTTCTATATAAAGCTGGAACTACATATCTCACTTTTGAAAAGGCAAAGTTTCTTTTGGCAGCGGCTAAGATGATTTCCATTTCCCTCAAAATATCCACAAAGAATTACAAGAGTCACTGTGTTACTCTTTAGCAAGATACAAATAAAGCAAAAGAGTCTAAATAAAAATTTTAACACAAACCACATAAAGATGTGGAATACAAATGGAGCATATCTTCCTGTCATTTGAACGTTTTCTTTTTCTGAGGACTCAAAAAATTCTTGGTAACATCTCTAAGTATTTAAAAACATAATCTGTGGCTAGGAAGGGGATTCGGCACTGTATTCTGTCTCCTTCAGCAATGCCAGAGTAAAGAGGAGGTTGTTGTGTGCTTCCTGACAGTGAGGGTGTGGCACTCAGACGTGCCGACAGCCAGCCTACCCAAGACAGCAGCTGTGAACAGAATCTGTTCATGGGCACGCTTTATGAAAACACATCATAATAATATCTGTTCACGGATGCTCTTATGATGCTGTGTTTTGTGTTATTTTATTTAAGAGAAAAGTTCTTTTATTTACAAAATGGTCCTTTTTTCTGGCCATGACAACCAGCTTACACACACACACACACACACACACACACACACACACACACACACGTCAACATCATAAACTCAAAATAAATGAAATTGCCAAAGGCAGTTTTAGGTAATTTTTTTGTTAAATTATTTGGTACAAAAAGTACTACAGTATTAATTTTATGAATACAATGGCAGACACACAAAAACACACTGAACAAAGGAATGCAAAAAATGGTATTCATATGATATAGACATTCAAAATTTAAAAATGGATCTTTAAGAGCCTTTTAAAACTTATTTTTAAAAACATCAAATTAGTAAGTTTGCTATTTACACCTTCAGAAGGACAATGCACAGAATGTTATTAAAGCAGTCAGAATTAGCAAATTATTTTGTTAGTTATTCAGAAGAAACAGAAGATCTCTGAAAAAAGTTCCTTTTAACCTCTGTACTAGGATATAAACTGATTTATAGTATAATAGAAAAGCTAACTCACGTCTAATTTTGACTGCACGAGGCAAGAATCATTAATAACATTCAAATAAGAATAGTGGAGATTCTAGTTTAAGGTTTGAAAGATGATTTATAGCTTAAAGTTTAGGTATATTTTGTTGTACTGCAATTTTAGGTATATTTTGTCTGTACTGCAATACAGTAACATAAGCGAACCTTACTATAAAATTTTTAAATGACTTATTTCAAATCAAAAATTTATTTCAAATAAATTTCAAGGAAATGATCACTAGCCATTAAGACTTTAGTTGAGATTTTAAAATAGTTTTTACAGGTCAAATAATATCATCTATTTTCGCCGAATCACATAACTTTAGAGTTGAAAGAGAATCCAGAGATCATTAAATTTATTCCATCATTTATCCAAGAGCAAATGGAGGCCACCAAGATTTAACCAATGTACACAGAATTATAGCCAAAACCCAGACTAGAACCCAGGTCTGTTGATTTTTAATCTATTGTACTCCTCTATTGATTTTCTTGATAGATTAAAAACTTGTATGAAGTTGGCACATAAAAGGCCCTTTTAAGATCTAGTACATTGTACATAAAACCCTTAGATTTTTAGCCTAGATTTTAAAGAAGACTTTGTGTTAAAGTAAGTTTTAATGGCTCAAAGGCTATAATTGAGAAGGAAAATGCTACTTTACAGTCATACTGTATACTTCTGACATTCTTTCAAATTCTTTTCATTTATGTTCAAGTAGGTAAATTAAATAGCCTTCCTACTATTTTGGACAATGTAAATTCTCTTTGAAAAGCTCTGGCTTTAAAGTAGTCAAGCTACTCTCTCAATCTAATGCCCATGTACTGATATATAAAGATGAATACTTTCAAAATATATGAAAACATGAAGGAAGGAAAAAATCTGTACCTGCAGTTGTATTTTTGTATCTTTGCTGACACTTTTTGTTCTCCAGCGTCTTGTGACCCGCTTGTCTTTCTTTGAAATATCTACACAGTTAGCCTACATTGTACAAATAGTTAAAAGCAACATAAGATTATTAAGTTCACAGGGATAACATACATGCAGACAAAGAGCTCAGCAAATTAGTGTTTAATCATGTTAGAACCTTGAGGCAAATCAGGCAGAAGAGAGAGGCACCATGTTCAAAGTAGAGACAAAGGCTACATTGTATTTTAATTATAAGATACATTTTCCTGAGGTGCAAAATAAAAACAACAGGATTACAGAGTTTGAGCATATTTTGTACCTAAAAGAATGGTCCATAATTCTGAGTGTTTAAAGTTGTACCTTTAAAACTGTCATTTCTAAGGCAACAGGAATATGGAAGAATGATTCAGATATGTATTTTATGGCAGCTGATACTGTATTTAAATGTATAACATTTTAAAAAAGTCATCTTAATTAACACAATGACACCAAGATTTAAAATATTAAGAATAACCCCAGAATACAAACTAGTTAGTATGGCAGTTATTTCCCTTTAAATGTCACCTTGTATATTCATAAAAAATCCAGAAAAGATTAAAGGTAAATACCTAGGTCTTTCAACCAACAGCAGTAGTAGGTTTACCTGCATGTCAGTAAAGTTAGGTGCTGACTGAGTTCTCTGAAGTATCTCCAAATTTTGTAGGAGTTTGCTAAGTTCCACAAGGTTTGATTGACAGTGTGCAAGATCTAAGAAAGATGAGAAATAAAAACATGTTAGACTTAGTCTGGGGGTGGTGGCAACTGTAATGAAAGGGAGTGAATCCACTTGCAGTAAGTATCACAAGGTATCTCCATGTTTCTATGATGGTAATATAGACAAATGAAACAAAGCAGATCCTTGTTTGGCATAGAACCATAAAACCAGATGATTTCAAAGCCCATTTCATGAATTAATCATTCTTAGTGTAGAAGACATTAAAATCTCAGCCAAACTGTGTGTGACCACTTTCCTACTTGGAGGGTTTTGTCACAGGGGCAACATACTCAAGGGAACTTCAGCAGTCCTATGGTCATATTCTTAGGGGGCAGTCTATGTGTCTAAAACAATTTGCAAGGTACATGTCTGGAATTTGGGCAGACTCAGAGTCAGGTTCAGAAAAACAGAATGGAGTCACATAAGGTGGTGCATGACTGTAATCCCAGCATTCTAGGAGGCTTGGCAGCAGGATAGCAAGTCTGAACCCAGCCTGGCCAACTCAGTGACTTGGGGACTCAGTGACTTACCCCCAAATAAAACAGTGTAAAGTGATGTAGTTCAGTGTAAAGGTGTTGGCTTCAACCTCCAAATGACATACACACACAGTGGAATATAAAAGTCAGTTAAACATATTCATAATTTAGCTCACTAGTAATGTTGCAATGAAGTCTATTAGAGACATTAAAGTAATACAGTATTTTATATCTATGAAAAAAAGTTCTCCAAGTGTCAAATAATTTCCTTACATATTTAAGGGCTGGTATAAGTCTAGATCTATGAATATCCAGCTTCTTTCATCCACTTTAAGTACTAAAATTATATAACCAGTTCAATAAGGTGTTGTTTCATCTCTTGAAATGTAATTAGTGAAATATCCATCCAATGAAATAACTAAGAAATATTCATACTTTTAAAATACAATAGTAAGGACTCTATGACAAGTAAACAGTATAGATGATTTTTAAATTGCCGTAGGAGATTTTAAAATTACTGTAGGAGTTACTACGTGTTGAGTCATCAGGGAAGACTTGTAGAAGAAAGGTCTATGTTCTGGGTTGGGAAGATTAACGGAAAGTTTTCACCAAGCAAGGGAGGTGGGAAAGGCAGAGAGGGCACCGTGAGTTCAGAGAGCAGCCTGTGCGAAGGCATGCAAGTGGGAATACACAAATCAGCTCACCAAGTAGCAAAATTATGGAAGACAAGCCTGAAAGGGTATGTAGGGCCTGGAATCTCAAAGCGCGGGATACATGTGGGGTAAGCAGTTTGTACGAATGCTCCCAGAGCTGATGGAGAACCACTGAAGAGTTTCTGCATTCAAATGACTTTAAAAACAAGCAGTCTTGTGGGAGTAGTATTAGGAGACAAAGTCAGATGTGAGTTGGCTGGAGTCCCGATCTCTCCACCAGGACAGCTGCATAATCTTGGGCAAATCTTCACTTCCATGTATTTCACTTCCTCACTGGATGGTTTGGGCACAGCCGCCATACCTGGGCTTTGCAGCATGGTGACACTTGTTTGTTAAAAGCCAGCCCAGGACCTGCACACAGGTTCAAGAATAGTAATTTCCCATGAGCCCCTTGAGTAATTTCCCATGAGCAGGATGAGGCAGTGGAGGGAGAGACCGAGGTGGCAGAGCCATCAGGAGGCTGTGTGATGCCCAGAGGTGAGGAGAGTGGTGGGCCTGATTTAGAAGGCAGGAATAGAATTCAGTGCAAGGCAGGTAGGCAAAAAGGTGAGGCGGGTGGGGGAGTTTGCAAAGAAAAAACAGGCAGGACTCTGGGCTGGATACTCGGGGAGGCGGATCACAGATGCCTTGAGTTTCAGGGGTGGCTGTGACAACAGTGTTAAGGAATGCAGGGAGAAGTGGGTGCTGAGTCACTTTTAGGGAAGACACAGCTGACAGGGGAGTGCGACATCATTTTTATACGGCTGCCCTGGAAGTCTGAGTGCCTGAGTTGGCTTCCCAACTCCGTTTCAGTAGCCTTGGGAACTTGTCTGAGGGAGGAAACATGGGAATCTCTGCTGCAGGAGCTTGCAGAGTCCTCTGCAAGAAAGTGCGGTCTGGCTTCTTTTGCAAACCTGAAATTACTGGCCTCAGACTGGTCTGACGGGAAAACCTTAACAGCCTGTCAGCTAGATGTGATTATGAATATAAAATCCCTCTTATATCACATTTTCAAGTGAAAATGCTACAGACATGAGCAGGGATGGTGGGGTACACCTGAAATCCCAGCACTGTGAGAGGCTGAGGCAGGAGGATCACATGCTCGAGCTCAGTCTGAGAAATTTAGCAAGTTACTGAGTACCCATCTCAAAACAAAAACTTTAATAAGGCTAGTATGTAGCTGAGTGCAGAGACCCTAAGAGTGCCCTAGTGCTGCCAAAGAAAGAGCCACAAGACTCAGTTTACACAGCGGTGGGGTTAGATACCCAGTTGGTTGAGGAACTAACAGATTGCTAAATCTCAGAGAGAACATCAGTGAGTTTTCCAGTAATGTCTGTTTTTAATTTTACAAAAGAAAAATATTTTAATTTACCCCAGCATCATCTGAAGATCATTACAGAATTTAAATCAGTGGAGCCCTCTTGAGTGCTTTTTTTTTTTTTTTTTTGGTCTTTTTGAGACAGGGTCTTGCTATGCAATTCAGACTGGTCTTGAGCTCACTTTGTAGCCCAGGCTGGTCTCGAACTCACGACGATCCTCCTGCTTCAGCCTCCTGACTGCTGGGATTACAGGCATGAGCCACCACGCCCAGCTCATTCTTGAGCCGTTACTTTTCCCCCTTCTGAAGATCAGCTGGAAACTGTTTCCTAGACTGGAAATGGCCCATCCACAAGTCTAGATGAAGTTGCTCTGGCTGACTAAATGGAGGAGGAAGGAAGAGGAGATTAAGCGGCCCCGGGATGGCAGAGTGAAGGACGTGTGTGTCACTTCAGATGTTTAAACAACTGATGCACACGGAAACACCACTCACGGGTAACTATGGCTATAAGAAGTGGCATCTTGAAATTCTGCCGCTATGGCTGGGTTGCCAGGAGACACATGCTTGTTCCACAGGCAAAACAGAGCAGCTCGGGAAGGCAGTGAAGGCTGTGGATGTGCCCTAGAGAGGAAGGCAGAGCAGAGCCCAGGAACATGGGTGGGGGCATCTCCAGGGTCAGGGGTGGCGCCTAGGAAGTCATGAGATAGAGACAAGGAAGAAGGCGAAGGTGAGTTCAAGGGAAGGACAAAAGCCAGACCCACTGGTCCTGAGAGTGCAAGGAACTGGCACATGAGAAGCCCACTCATGGGTTTATAGAAAGATCTAGAGTAGAAAAATAAGGACAGATGAAGGCTGTGGAGGAGTCCAGGCAGGATGCAGTACCCACAGTTCTCCATGGTAGTTCTGATTCTTTGTTTCAGTGGTTTAGGTGACACGGCAAAGACTAACCTTCTGCACACCTGTCCATTTCCTCTGAGTCCTGCAGCCAGGCTGCCACTTTGCTCTGGCCGGTCGTGCAGGTTGCAGGGAGGCTGTTGCTGCATGGTAGTGGGGACTGCCAGGGAAAGCTGTTCGGCTGCACCTACAGGGGACAGGGATAGAGCCCAAGGGATGGTCACAGGCAGCGGAAATGGTACATTTCAACGGTTGCTAAAAATACCAGTATCCTCAAAGGAATATATTCTTTTCAAATAAAGGAATAAAGAATACATGCAAAATAGAAAAGAAACTTCCTCACAAAATGTGGTAAGTGTTCAGTGAAGACAAGATTCATAATGACAGCGATTTTACTGAGTTGCCAGATCCATCATTCAAGTAGGGGACAGCATTTGAGTAGGTTGTGTCTCACACACCAACTCAAACTCCTGATAGTGTTAAGTCACCAGTTAATCTGTATTTAATACAGTGTCCTTACTGCAGAACTGACTCTCTCTCTCTCTCTCTCTCTCTCTCTCTCTCTCTCTCTCTCTCTCTTTCCCCTCTTGATATTGGAAATCGAACCCATGATCTTTCAACTTAACTATATACCCAGCCCTACTCAATATTTTTTTAAAATTTTGAGTCCAGGTCTTACTAATTCACCAGGTTGCCCAGGGTGGGCCCAAACTTTGTGATCTTCCTGCCTCAGTTTCTCAGAGTGCCAAGGTTACAGGTGTGTGCCACCACATGTGGCTTCATTGCAGAACTCTGAACACATGACTTAAGGCCTCGCCTTTCGAAAGTTCCCTGTCCTCTATCATCAGCTTAAGATCTTATCAGCCACAGGTGATTCCCAAATCCATTATCCACCAATATCCAGCCTTATGATTTGAATACACACTGAAAATTATATAAAAAGGTTTGCCACACTATTATTTATAGCTTATTTTCCATTGAAATGATTTTATATGAAATAAAGTTGTGTGAAATGTGCAGGTATATACTTGGGTGAGGGCCATAAACACTCAGTGAAATAGGTAGAAATTTATTTTCCCAAGAAGCTGTAAGTTTAAAATTCCATATGTGACTTTTAACGTTCAATTACAACTGATTGCATCTCTTCTAAATCATTATGAAATGACTGATGCACACACTTAGTAAACCCAGACTTGTTTATTATCCACACAGGGCCACAGACTGATCAACATTCAGGAGCCCCACAATTTGACATGTAGAAGGAAAGCAAAGAGATAAAAATCTCTTTTGAATCTTTATTGCATTTTAATAAACCTAATAGAAATCTTTCACTGACTTAGATTTTACAGATATGTCATCTGCAACTACAAAAACAGAGCTTTTGTGAAAAATCACAGTTGAAGAACTTTCTTATTCCAAGGCAAACGGGGGAATTTGATTCTAGTCCATGATTCTCAAATATCACCCAAGTTATTTGATAAATAAGATGAGGGATGAAAGTAATGTATCTTTTGTCAGTACCTTGTGCCAAAGATGCAAAGAGAAATTGGAAGAACCAAAGAATTAAATTTTTGTATTTTTGAAAGATTTACTTGGAATATGTTTTTTATTTTATTTGGACTAACACTGGGAAGCCTAGAGAAGCTTCGAACTTAACATAGACCCCTGACCTCCTGACACATTTCCTTTTATTTCAGAATAATTAAACAGTCCTTAGCAAAGCTACAACCAGAATGAAATAATAAAGCATCTGAGGGTCTTGCCAAATACAGTTGAGAGTTAAAAACTACTTTAGTCATTTCTACAAAAGTAACAAAAAGTTGACTACAGTAATGTTCCATTGAATCTGATTTGGTTAGTCTTGCAGTTTCTTCATGGAGTTTTGTAACAGTTTTGTAAGCCCTGGGGCCTGCAGTGTTGCTACATTTCAGAAACCTAATTATTGAATCAAAGGCAGAAACAGCTGCCGCCCTGCCTGCTGTCTTAACCTTGACTTTACTGAAAACAGACTCCTATTACAATCCAAGGAACAACTTAGACCTCCCTTGTCTATGAGGCACCTAGTATAATGGAAAGGGCACTGATTATGGAAATGGAGACGGAGGGTCAGATCCTGGAATGGCTATGCCACTTGTGGACAAATAATTATTTCTCTTTGCAGTATGAGGAGTTGAACTTGGGGCCTTCGCATGGAGTTACATTCTTTTGAGTGTTGTTTAGATGAATGTTACTCTCTTTTCAATATTCCCACAAAGCTACAGAAAAACAGGAGCTAGTCTGCTCATCAGAAAGGAGAAATAACTGTTAATATACTTGGTAATCACATTTCTGCCTAATCCATATTTGTGATACCTTCTGAGTGTCACTTCACAAAGCAAACCTTCAACTTCTAGAGCTTTCAAGTGACACACATGATATGTGTGAATAACTCTCCAAGCAATTTCCAGGCTGATTTTTGCAGAGCAAGGCCATACCTTTCCATCCACAACAGAAACATTAGCAGCTGGGGAGGACTCGGCTGTGGAAGTTGCAGGAAATATGTGAAAACTAGCATCTCTCGGCGATCTCACAATTTCATTCTGCCGGTACAAGCGATGGTGGCGCAGTTTGGACACCCAGGCATCAAACCAGTCCTGGGATTTCACCTGAAACCACCAGCAAGAAAAGCAAGGACGGTGAAAACAGTCTCACACCCACCACAGGTGCGGGGACATTACTGCCCCTGCTACAGACACAGAAACTGTTGAAATGTGACTTCACCTTCAAGTGATAGATGTGCTCTTCTGTGTCAAGGTCTATCCTCCGAGCTTTCTTTTTAATTGACATGACAGATAATCCTACATCGATGCTCCCGTGGACCTTCCCCTTCTGAATCTGAAATCAAAAGACTTGTAAATAGGTTAGAAGGACATCTGGTCTGATCTGTTTCCTCCCTAAACTTAACTGAGGCTCAGGTTTTTAACTTATCTATGGAAAACAGAATAGCACAACTCTTTAGTAGAGAAAATAGTTAAGGTTCTGAAGTTACAGTCCTTAGGCTGAGGACAACTGACTTCCCACTAATGTCAATGAGTAACGTTTTATTCCTGTTTTTGCCATAAGCTAGTCAACTTGTCATAATTCTAGATTACACAGTTTATATCCCCCCAGGAAGACATTTTTAGCTGGTCCTAAAATAGCTGTGGTCAACTTTTGACCTACGACAATCCAGAGCATCCCTGAGAAGTCAGCTGGAAAACAGCTGCTAGGGCGGAAGAGGGCAGATGGGCGCAGGAGGAGATGGCTCCTCCTCCTGGGCGCCCCCTTCAGACTAAGGGCAGAGCCCATTCAGTGGCAGAGACGGGAATAACTGCAGTGTGAACCTTCTGTTATTTCCCCTATAACAGGATGACAAGCAGAGAGACTTTTCCAGTTTTGCATGCAAGCGACTATTTTAAATATTAAAAATAATTTGTGATTCCCAAGATAAAAGGATGTATGAAATAGAAATGAAGTTCAAAAGACAGTTTATAAGAGGATGGCAACAAGAACAAAGATTTCTCTACACCTCAGAAAACCACATAGAAACGAATTTACTGAGTGGTTAAAAAAAAAAAAAATGTTTGCACTTTCTCTCCAAGAGACAAAGAGTGATTTTGGCAATGTGTCACTTCTAGGTTTAAGCTTCTATTTTTAATAACATGCATCAAAATAGCTAAGTTAAATCTTCATGCATTAGTTTCAGGTTTTATGCTATCTCAAGTATAAGCATAAAACACATTGTTTCTGGCACATGCAGGTTTGGTAGATTGTTAAATATTACAAACACAGACATGCACAAAACTGGTAACTATGGCACAAGCCTTGTACAATTACAGTGTTTACTCACTTCAAGCAGAATTCTAACTCAATCTTTGAAACACATCCTGTGTGCTACTTACATCAAGTGGTGCCTTTGAATATTTTAGCATTCCATTATCCAGGACAAAAAAACGCTGCAAGAACCAAACACCCCTAGTTACTGTCTGTACATAAAATATTCTCAAGTGTGGGTCTAAAGTTGCTTTGCAATTATCAATATATTTGATTATTTTAACATAGAATTTAGAGCATTATTAAATTGCAAGGATATCAGAGCTTGAGGTCCATGCTACCAATCTACCAGAGTTGTTTTCTTGTTAAAACATAATGGGAGTGGGATTTTTCACCATGATTATTCTTAGTAAGAGGGACTCTCATGGCCTATCCTTAAGACTTTTTAAATGAACCATCCAAGATTTTTTTTTTGAGACACCATTTCCCTACGTAATTCAGGGTGATCTTGAATTCACTATGTCGCCTGGTCTCAAATTCATGGCAATCCCCTGCCTCAGTTTCCCAACACTTGGGAGACCTGTGCCACCAGGCCTGCAAATACTGGATTTTTTAAAAGAGAGAAATAAAAACAATCTGGCTTAGTTTACAGAGATGCTGTGAGAATCTCTACACAAAACTGCATGAAAGTTTTACCCTGGAGGTAAACTCCTGAATTTCCCCTGGAGACAGTACCATGGAAATCTTCTGGAAAAAATCACTAGAGAAACTAGTTGTCTGGCTCAATGAAAAGTTAAGTCCTTGAAATGTTAAGTGACCTTAGCAATATGCTTACATTATCAATTTAGCAAATGCTTGCATTTGAAAAGAGATTAACAATTATTTCCAAATTGCATTAAAGGTAAAAAAGAAATGAGTAGTTTTTTGTTGAGGGGCAACTTCATCTGCTCCAAGATCTCTCTGGTACACTGTGAAAGGAACGCAACAATTTTCAGCAAACACTCAGGAAGCAGGAACACTTTCTGCTGTTGATTTCCCTTCATGGGCATTAGGGAGAGAACAGCTCCCAGGTCCCAATCACACAGTGGGTCCAATAACCTTCTCTAGTTCGCCACAGCAGGGAGTCTTTCTGTTGCTGGAAAATGCCACTGTGGAAATGTTTTCATGTGATTCAGGTATTCAGATCTACTGAGCTAGCAGGTGGTCAGGGCCAACCTTACTCCTACCTAGAACTAACAAAAGGTCACTGTGACCCTTTGTTTCATATTCGGGGGCAACAAGTAAGTATGAAAAGAAAGAATCTCAGCTGAAAAATACTCAATGACTCAAATTGCTTATCTGCTGGGCCACTAAATGGACCGAAGCTCGAATTCATACATGGTGGTACTGGAGGGCAGGAGAAAAGGTAGCATGAGAGAGGTTGCCCACTTTTTATGCAGCAAAATGTTCAAAGGCAGAGTCTAGAAACTTGCTGCATACTTCTTTGTCTTTGAGGATGTTCAGAGGGAAGAGAATGAAGTAAAGTTTGAAGGGCAGTAAACCTTCAGTATCAGCAATCTTCCAAACTTAGTTTGCCCTGGTAACATTACTTGTAGTAATTTATCCCAAGGAACTAATTAATACTAAAATATAAATATGTTCATCACAACATTAGAACAGTGTAACATTAGACAAGTTTTGCATATCTATCAGTAAGAAAGCAGACTGGGCATATAAACCCATCCAATGGAACACATGCATACATTTAAAATCTCCTATTTATAAAAATGAGAATATATCAACATTAAAGCAGGTTAGACAATAATAAGCATATTTGGGTTTTAAATATCTCATAAAATATTTTCCCTATATATGTATATTACACACCTTAGGCATGATAGCTTGTAACTCATATGGCTGAAATAAGGTTTTGAAAATTAGTTTTACATATACAACACAGTCTTGGCTTCCTGTAACTACAACTCAGATTCTCTTTATGAAGATGATCAGAACTTCATTCTGATAAAACTGTTACCTTGTGCCAGCCTTTTAAAGGCCATTTTCTTTTCTTCAGCATAAAGCCTTCATGTTTGTCTGGTTTCTGGACATTGGTTTGGCCTATTTTCAGCCCTTCTATAATTTCCCAGCTGTCAGCTTCCTGAGAGAAAAACAACAAATAAACAATCTCATTTTCTGTGTCTGATGACACTCTGAAAGCAGATTCTTAAGCAGAAGTCACTTCTGAGGTAAGGTGACCCACCTGAAGTGTAAGCCACCTCCTAGAGCACATTCTAACAACATGTTAGGCATTTAAAAATGAATTTAAAATGAGTTTATCACTAGATCAAGTGCGGTCCATCGCAGACCCACAGGGTTGCCATGTTTACATGGATTGGAAAGGAACTTTGCCAGTACTCAGAATATTTAAGATGAATTTTTCCATTTATTCTCTAAGTCCCAGAAAGCGACTGTTTTGATGGCAAATGTGCAATTAGTGTGTGGACCTGGCTTTCCGTGTAGAAATGGAAAAGCTGCAGTTGTCAAAAGTGGCTCGTAACCTGCTACTAACAGAAAAGAACAGGACTGTGGTCGTGATTTCTCCTGGGGTGGCTGACTGCATTTGCAGGGACCCATCAAGCATCTTGCTCATCAAATGCACACATGCCCTTGGGAGCCTGTGGAAGCAGTAGCAACCTACAGAGCATGAAGCTGGATACGAGAGCTGGGAGACTGCCTGGTGCTACAGGGTGTGCTTCCCATCTGTCTGAAGGCCCTGGGTTCAGTGCTCAACATCTAAATGAAAGCAAGTTAAAAAAATAAAAAAAGGAATCTTAGTTCTAGAGTTCACACACTGATCAATCTGTTAAAAATTAAGTGAAATCATTTCTTCTTTTTTTTTTTTTTGAGGCAGGGTTTCATTCCGTAGTCCAGACTGGCTTTGAACTCACTGTGTAGCCTGGGCTGACCTTGAACTCCAGGTGATCTTCCTGCCTAACTCAGCTTCCCAAATTAAAGGCATTTGCTACCACACCTGACAGAACAGTTTTCTCTTGCATGAGGCATGTTCTGTTAGATCTTAAATATACACACCTTCTGAATGTCTATAAAGATTTGGTGACACCAGTCTGCATGAAAGATGTCTATCTTCAGTCTTCCACAGTCCCTGCTGAGCTTGGCAAAACTACTTGGCCTTTACAACAGCCAGGATTTGAAAATCCAAGGTTCAGGAGGTTTCCAGGCACCTGTGGAACTGTATAATAACCCTGACCTGGCAAATTCCAGAGCAGTCCATGCTCTAGGGCTCAGGCACTACACTCTGGACTGCAATATGGCCTTCCAACAATTAAGCAGATTGTAGTTCCTGAGGCAGCAACAGGCTCTTCATAGCCTGTCTCAGGGCAGGGAGGGTGGATGCAGTGCAAGGGGTCTCAGGTGACCTACTCTGCCATCTCTGCTTTGGAAAAGTGGGTGCTCTGCATCCAGCCCCTCCCAACTGATGTGGGAAGCTGCCTTTTGAAAAGGCTGGGGCTATCCGAAACACCGTGAGTTCACAGAACAATGGGTTTGACAGGAATGGCCAAGGGAATTCATCTCAGGGCAGATGGCTTTGCTGGTCCAAGGAGGCTGCTGAGGCTGCCCAAACCCTGCACAGGAATTCAAGGCTCCGATGAGGCGCGGAGGAAGAGGAATCCCACCAGCTACAGACAGAGCCAGCGTTCTCCACCCTTCTTGGCCTGTTTCTCCTGAAGCCTGCTTGCCTTGCTGCTAAGTTTAATCAGTGTTAAATTCAAGCATGTGCAGATATGGACGGACTTTCACATGAAGTTATATTTTCAGGCAAAGCAACGGCTAACACTGCTTCTTTCTAACCTCTGTAAACTAGGAGGAGCTCCTGGCCTCTAAACAGCCCTCTACACTTGACACCATGCCTCTCCTGTCCCTAAACCCAGCCCCGCTCCCACCCCAGGAAAGTCAAGCAGGGGCTGTTGTCACTTCATCTTTGAGATCACGCTGAGGGGTATACCACCTACCGCACCTTGTAGAAACACACTTGCTGGTGTTCATTTGGTAGAGTGACAGAGTCTGGAAAGGACCTTAATAACCCAAGGATGGATTTTCTACTTGAAGATAATTCTGAGTCACTGTGATTGATCTGGTCAGAACTATTAATAAGACACAGTGATTTTAAACAAGTGTTTCTACCAGTATACACTGTCCCTGTCTGCAACTCACTAGCACACGGCAGTGGGAAGGGTCATCTAGCCAACGCGTTTCAGAAGAATTGTAACCAGCGAAGAAAGAAACTGGAGCCTCCTGGAAGAAACAAAAAAGATGGGAAGAGGAAGCAACAACAAAAAGTCCCCAGGTCCCAACCCTGAGAACATTGACCCAGGACAGGAAAATACAAAGGAGAATGAGAACAGCAAACACGCAATATCAGACACGGCACCAGTGGACATAAAGAGATATATTTGGGACCTCATAGACAAGTTCAAAAGTGAATTATTTAGCCAAGTAAAGCAAAATATAAGAAGATTAATAAAAGATATGCTAAGCACCCCTCAAGCAGACACAGACAGAAGAAGGGAGGAACTCAAACAAAGGAGAGAACCATTTGATGTAGAATATTAAAAAAATATAGAATATATGAAGCAGATTCAAAGAGATTACCAGGAAATTAAAAACTCTATGGAAAGATGGAAAATCAGCTTGAAAGAAACTAAGGATAGAATATCCAAACTGGAGGACAGTTTTGCAGTGTGGGATTATGAAAGGAAAAACTTTTTAAAAATAACAAGGAAACAAGCAGTAACAATACAAAGGCTAGAAGATGACAAGAGGATCTATAACTTGAGAATAAAGAATGTGAATGAAGAAGCAGGGGTACCAGCAAAGGAACTACAAAGGTTATTCACAGAAATAATTAAGGAAAACTTCCCAAACATAGGAAAAGGAAATGATATGCAGATGTATATGGCATATAGAACTCCAGCCACCTACAACCAAAACAGAGCTACACCCAGGCATATAATAATCAAGATCCCAGAAATTCAGTATAAGAACAGAATATTAAAAGCTGTTAGAGACAAGAAACAGATAACCTATAAAGGAAGGCCCATCAGAATAATGGCAGACTTCTCAACACAAACCATCAAGTCAGAAGAGCCTGGAGTGAAATATTCCAAGCCCTGAAAGAAAATAACCTCAAACCCAGATTGATATACCCTGATAAACTGTCTCTAGAAATTAATGGAGAAACAAGATGCTTCCAAGACAAAGAGGAACTTGAGAAATTCACAACCACCAATCCAAGTCTATAGAGAATACTCCAGGGCATTCTAGAGAGAGAGAAAGGTACCAGGATTCCAGGAACAGTGGCAGAGAGGCCTCAATGCATGGAGCAGAAAACAGAATGAAGAAGATAAGCAGACAACTGATGGCAAAAAAAGAGCATAACAGAAACGAGGCAGAGAAGATTTTGTTCAAAACTGATATGATTAATAATATCAAGTCTGAAAATATAGGCAACTACACTGAAGATGACAAGACTCTACGATACACATTTTGGTTTGATAACTCCTGGTTTTTGAAGTTCTACACTATAGATAAAGTTGTGTTTTTATTAATACTGTTATGTTTTGATATATTCAATTATACTATGTCTGATGATATAGCCAATTCTATTGGAGATAATAAGAGACAACACAGGATCCATGGTAGAACTCTTTGTACAACGGTCTTCTATGTTTTTTTTTTTTTGTTTCATGTGTTTATAGGAATATGTTTTGTTTTGTCTTGCTTTGTTTTGTTTCTCCCTCTAATATAGAAAGGATAGAAATACATGTTAAGACTCATGCCTGTGTAGAATCTATAAACATCTTATGAGAACTGATCTTATGACACATGATGAAATGAACAGATACTTTGAAGAAAAAGAGACACTAAAATACCCAGTGCTGATCCTGGAGTGTCATAATGTGACACCCGCCAATAGTATTATTCTTTGTTCAGAGTGATATTAGCCTGCTTGGGTTTGTTCAATCTCAACATAATTGAAGATATGGATAACTGCATGTATGTTTAAGTGTATAGGATTGATAACAATATTTCTCAGTTTTTGTTGGATAGCTGAACAGAACTGTTTGCTGTCTGGCTGTTTGAATCCCCACTTTATATGCTCCACTTTAGTATCTTGAATAACTATTTGTAAGAAGACAATCTGTAATCATTAACTAGTGATTTCTGTTTTTTTTCTTTGAAATTATGTATTATCTCTACCCATTTTCTGTTTTCTTTAGTCTTTCTTTAAATTAAAGTTAAAAAAAGGACACTACAGTACCCTATGCTGATCATGGAGTGTCATGATGTGAAATCTAGCAATACTATTATTCTTTGTTCAGAATGATTTTAACCTGCTTTAGTTTGTTTAATCTAAACATAAATGAAGATATGGAAAACTGCATGTATGTTTAAGTGTATAGGATTGACAACCATGTTACTAAGTTTTTATTGGACAGTTGAACAGAACTGTTTGCAGTCTCGCTGTTTGAATTTCCACTTTACATGTTCTATTTTTGTACCTTGAACAACTATCTGTAAAACGACAATATGTAAACATCAACTAGTGATTTCTTACTATTTATTTTTTTTCTCTGAACATATGTATTATTTCTACCTATTTTCTGTTTTGTTTAGTTTTTCTTTAAATAAAATTTTTTTAAAAAAGCGTTTCTGATGAGATAATTTCAAGTTGTAGAAATTACATTTCTTTTGGATAACACAAGTGCAAGTAATATTATCATATTATTCAGTACCAGGGAACGGCTTCTTAATATGGCACTGCAATTCAACAAGTGAGAACAGGTTTACATACAATGTCAAAATAGTAAGAAAATATTAACATAAAAAGGCTAGAATTTTGATTTTCTACCTTTACCAAAAAAGTAGATAATGATCCTAGTCCACAAAATGATGGATTTTTTACTAATTATTTTTTTAGAATTTTGATATAAATAAGAAATTAAAAATAATGACTCTCCATATATGCATAGATATATCTCTTGGTTGAACAGAATTCACCAGATTACCCATATATCTATAAATGTATCCTCTGTTCTTAAACATCAGTATATAAAGACATTTCTTCCTTGAGCGGCTTCATCTATGGGTAGTATCTCTAATGGAATAGATTTGTATATCTGCTAGATCTTACTTGAAGAATAGTGTTTAACTTTGTGTGTGTATGTGTGTGCGCATGCGTGCATGAAAGATGAACATTATTAGATATAAATAGTGAAAAGGAAACATTTAATAATCAGTACAAATGCATTTCTTTTTCCTTTTCCTAAATTAACTCAAAATGTAGAAGCAGCTTGTCCCTCTGGAACTATGGCTATTGATTTCTATTAAGAGTGGTTTCCTTTTCATCGGGAATTTAACTGAAGCAGGAAAAAAGAGATAAGATAGAAAAAGCAAAAGGTTAAAGTGTGACCTAAATGCTGCAACTGTGAATCAACAATTCCATTTGCTCTGATGTAATATTCCTCTGCCTAGCAAAAGAGAAAAAAACTTTAATATAGTTCTTACAATTAAATAAGTTGTCAAGCTCACAAAGAGGCAGAGTACATAATCAGAGTGAACAATGCTCTCCCTATTTCATTTCAATTATAAACATTGATGACAATATTACAAACAAGTTCTGTAAGAAATGAATAACCATCTCAGTACAAGATAGAATCTTCTATGTTCTTCTATGTAGTATGTTAAAATTCTTCCTGCTATGCTTAGTAAGCTGGATCTAGCAAAAGAAAACTAATCTTTCTGACAACTGAATTTCTTTTGAAATTTCAACTGATGCTTATTTTCTGCTGAAACTCTTCAATTCTCCTAGGTGTACTTAAAATAGAAATGGACAAAAGTCCTAATGTGATCATGTCAGTACCAGACCTAACTCAAATATGCAAACATTTTTGGTACTATGGAAGTCTCAAAATACTTTTTCTCTAATAACAATGACTAAAAACAAAAAATAATCTAATAATAGCTTAAGCCTATTCACCTGAAAAAAACTGGGACATTTCCTTTCTCGGGGTTGCACTCCATGGGTGTGCACGCATGATGGTGTGTGTGTGTGTGTGTGTGTGTCTGTGTGTGTGTGCATAGGTGGGCGGGGACAGTTGTGGAGGCTCCACTACATTAAAATGCTCTAAGAGTGGAAGGCATCAAGCTAGGGATTTGAAACAAATCTTGAGCTAGGAAACTGTGTCCTTCAAATGAAATTCTTCTAGTACCAGCCAGTGCCCAGGAAGTCTCCTTTCTCCAAAGGAGCCAAAAGAGAATGAGATGCTGTGCTACCTAGATCGGTTCTCTGTGGTACTTGACTGCAGGTGAGCCTCTAATTCCAGGAGGCCCCAAGATTTATTCTGTACCTTCTAATTCAAAATCACAATTACGGCTTGTTAGGCCTACAGCTAGATCCAAACAGGCAACAACATGAAGAGATGACAAGCGGATGCTGTGGGTTCCCCACCCAAGTTTTTTGATCAGGCAAATGGATCCACACCCCAGGCTGCTGTGAGCTGGACTAACCATGAGAAATTATAGTGTTTGGCCAATTTGAAGCCTTTATGTTTGGGAAATGAGACTCAATTGTTAGTAAAACAAGAACATTAGGACTGACTTCAATGAACTGGTTGGCTGATTGAGAGATCACATTCTAACCCAGTGCCCAGGACAAAACCAAGCTTGATAACCGTCAGCTGCCTTTTCCATTGCTCTATATTTCTCTGCTGTCTCCGTTTCTAACTATATGAGTGAACTGATGTGCAAGGAGATACATGAATCATATTTACCAAGCATTCGCTCTTTATTTGCTGTTCAAACAGAAGTCAGCCACTTTTTATTTCCTCTAAATTGAATTTACGGTTTGGTAATTCCCCCTTTTCCTTAGCTTAGCAATCTACTTCTGTCTGACAGCATGAACTCAGTAGCTTATAAAGTCTTCAAAGTATAGAGGTGTGAGAGCATATATCCTGTAACACCAAGATAGTGTTGTGTTTTTCATTTTACAGATTATGTTTCATTTAGGAAACGCAAAATGAAAGGATCAGCTACACATATTTAGAAGCTAGCTATCTTTGGAAATAAAGTGCTATTTTTATAACTGAATTTAAACCCCACATGTAATATATGTTCAGAGTTCTTCGAGAAGGGAGCCAGCGCACTGAGCCTCTCAAGGAGGGCTGGGATTGGTAAGATGCCACCTCCTTGACTGACTTTTACCTTTAGACATGCTCCCCTAAGCTAAGAAAGAGCAGGCTGATGGGGGAAGGAACCTCCCATGAGACAGCAGAAGCTGAATAAATGATCTACAGTGTTCACGCGAAGGCGAGGAGACAGAAGGGGACTGTGTGAAAGCCACCGCGTGCAGGTACTGTTACCCTGCAGGTCATAGATGGTGAGAAAGTATTGGTTGTTGAGCTGGACAAATTTAAATTTGAATTTCTGCCGTGTTCTTAACAGCTTTTTTTGACGGGCGGGGGGAAGACCTCTTTCTCTTTCTATAAAAGAGCAAATATCTACATGGAGCTGTTTCTAAGAATTATATGCAATGGGTTATTCTATATAAGCCCTCAGCATAGTGCCTGGTGTGCAGACCACAGGCAACAACAGTAGCTAGTAATATCAAGATTATTGCTGGATCCAGTGATTTTTCCCCCATTACTTTGGCACAGAAATATTTACTGCTCTCTCTTATAGGTACTAACGATGCTTTCTCTTTCCTTTTTCCCTAAAATAAAAAGAATTTTAGCCATTTGTATATAACCCTGCAAACCTAATGTAAATTATTTCATCAGTCTCTCCTTACGCAAGGCAGAGAAACTGTACTGCAGTCAGAAGGAAGCTGGAAGAGTTGTCATACGACTGGTGTCACAGCTACCTTAGGGGAGCCAAATGGAAAAGTTATTCACAGTTCGCTTGGCCCCAGGCAGGCAGGATTCCATCTGGGAAAGCAACATCCTCTGTCACTGACCTTGGAGAGGGAGACTGGCTCAGGTTCTAGCAAATGCCGACTTCCGGAGGGCTCGGTGCTGGTGGAACCAGTCCTCTCCAGGATGTGGATGCTCTGAAAAGGAGTGAAATACAGGCCCGGGTTAGACACTTGCTCCTCATATGGATGGGCATGTAGGTGAGATCACACAGACCACAGCTCAAACAGGAAGCAGGGTTAAAAACATCAAGTACATCAGAGACCAAAGATAAGGGCAGCAGGCAGGAAGACAGGTCAGCGAGGATTTTATCTTCCTTCTTATGGAGGGACCGCTAAACGTCAGCTGCAAAGCCAGTTTCTGTCTCAGAGGACTCAGAGGAGTAGCTTTGGAAAAACTTTAGGACACAGAAAAATTGAGTACGGCAGACAGTTTTATGACTTTTTGAGAAGGGTACCTCTATTACTTTGGCTAATTACTTTAGACAGATGTATTTGTTCATTTCTCCAACAGAAAATGCTAATAAATAAAGAGAAAGGTTTAGGTCAAAAAGTCCAGAGCTTTAATGTTGTTTGGTCTCTAGAGTTTCTTACAGAAGTGCACAGAGAGGAAAATAATACATCAAGTACAAGAAAAAGTAGATGCCTTTTACAAAGACTATGAAGAGCATTCATAGGTCAGGAAGAGAATATTTCTATCTTCTGTAAATAACGATAAACACAATCCTTTAAACAACACAAACAACTGCTGTTTAAAAGTCTTGGTAATTTTTAAGAGTGTAAAGACTTCTTGGGACTAGGATGTTTGACAACTGCTTAGGTTCTAGAATTTAAAAATTTGTGGTTATTTTTAAAATAGAGTATTTTGATATATTAAGTTATTCTTTTTTCATAATGCTTCTTTGGAGGGAAATATTTTTTTAAACTAACACATTTCAAAAATTTTTAAAAACTAGTTAATATGTCTTAAGCAAAAGTATACATATCTGCTCATTAGTAATCCCAAACTCTCTTGACACAACGCAAGCTTATATGGGAAATGAATCTTGTCTTATGTATTTATCAAGTACATCTGAGCAAAACCTACCTCCATAATATAAATACTATGAAGACAAAACCAATAAAGGTATTTTTAAAAATGAAGTAAATTTTCTAAGAAACATTGACAGTAAATGCATGCAGGTATCACTGTAAAGAAAAATACAAAATGCTTCTCTCATCATTAAATTACTTTACTTTCTATTATTAAATGATTTTATAATTTGTGATAATTATCCAGAGGGAGACAAGATCCCATAATATAATCTTTTTTTTTAAAAAATCAAGAGTTAGAATCATTTAGAAGTCACACATTTTAATAGTAAGTTCCCTTATCATCTAATAGGATACAAAAAATTCTAGTCAAGTAAATATAATAAATCAGAAGATCCAAACCTTGGTAGCATGTGTCATTAATTCATTCAGTGAATCAGCATATCATTACTGGGTATCAACACAGAAAAGAAAGTGACAGAAAAGAACGTAAAGAAGAAAGCAGGCGAGAGAACTGTTCTTTTTTTTTGTGGTACCAGGGATGGAGCTCACAACTGCATGCTCACCAGGTAGGCTCTTATGCCACTGAGCTAAATCCCCTGCGAGAGAACTGTTCTTGTGATGTCTGTGTTCTAGAGGGAGGTCATACACCAAAAAATAAAACCCTATAACACTGAACAATTTTGTGAGCCCATTGGTTCACCGTGTCCCATGTGGCTACTGCTTTTGCTTATGTAGTTTATCCAGGCAGCTGTCTTTGGTCTGAACTTTTCTTTAAAGACTCCCTCCCTTTCTGGACTTTCAGGTTGCTGGGCAGAAAAACATACATACACTGCAAATTCACCATCCCTCCCCCCTGAAAACACAGTAATAGAAGCAAAACATGGAAAGAAACCTGATCATAGCAACTATGTAGGTGGAAAAGAAGGATTAAACTTAAGCAACTTGGCCAGGAAGAGAAAACTAAATCCCTTAATTTCTGTATGAAGACACAGACATAGAAATGGTTGGTATATTTAAAGTATGGTAAACATGAGTTTTATCTCTATAGATGCAAAAGGAGTCTTTAAATGTTGCCAAAATTTTATGGATCATGATCCAGAACTAACATTCCTAAAATATCTATTCCGCAAAACAGTTTATATTATGGAAGAAAAGGTAGAGGTTCATTCACTTCTAATACAGCGAGTACAGTACATACATACTAAAAATGAGTGAAAAATCTGAATCCTACATGTTGATTTGCCAAGGTGCAAATATATAGAAATGTTTACTGAGCCATTGTAATAAATGAGTATTTTCATTACCACAAGTATGTATATAGTCTATTAAAAATTACAATTTATAAAATACCCATTTATTCTCATTTTAACTATTAACTAAAAGTAAGTCATTTTATTTAACCTCCCATATAGCAAAGTCATTAGCTTTTTATAAACTTGCCTGTCTTATATCTGCGTATTATTAACCATCATTATGAAAATGTCTTCAATACCTTGAATGGCTTCAAACTTATGCTATTTAAAACTAAAGCTGTACCTAAAGTTATATAACAAACTTAACCACTTTATATTTTACATAAAATATATAAGTACCTTGACAGCTATTTTTTAATGTCATCAGCTAAAAAAGTTTTAATGCCCCACACTTAGTCTTAAACCATCTTCATCATAGTGTCATTTCTTTTACCCACAATGCACCCTGCCCTGCACCCCAGCCTGTAGCTCAGTGGCAGAGCACTTGTTTGGTATATATAAAGACCTGGGTTCAGTTTTAAGCACCACAAAAATCTCTCCCATTTTTAAAAAAATTTTCAGTGTTTTCTGGTTAATTTGTAGAGAACAGTCCCTTAGTATCATTAACAAATAATTAAGCATAATTATTTGTTACTTTGGAATTATAAAAATCATAGCTCTTTTGAAAAAGAACTTTTGAAAACATTTAAAAAGTCTGACTTTTTAAAGTGAAGAAGAGAGTGGGTTAATCACTAGGCTCTTGTTGATTAGATTTAAAGCTACAGCTGGTCAATGAGGAACACACATCAAATCTGACTCTGTAACACCTGCAGTTACAAAAGGTCTTTTCACGTGGTTTCCCTTAAGATCGTAATGTGCGTTGTAATTTTTCTACTTTTAAAAGATAGCTATTTTCCTACTCTTTCACAATAACATGAAAACATATCCCACTGTCCTGAAAAGCTCATACACCTTATATAAGCAAGTTAAACAAAGCATTATGCAAACTTGTTTATTACTCTTTTGAAATAAAGTTTCCTCTCATATCCTAAAATTTCACTTTAATTTCCAGTACAATTTTTAAAAGAACTGACAATACACAGAGAAGATGGCAATACTTACCCACCTCTTGTTCCCTCTGCTCAGAGAGAAGAGAGACATACTTAGCTCAGGTCAGAAGTCTGGAGTACCCATTGCCCTGTGGCTCTTTAGCCTAGTCTAAGCAAGTTCCCAGGGCTGGCATTCACCAGTCTGAGTACCTCCTGGGCAGCAGGTGGAAATCTGCCAACGTGACTGTTGGATACCAGTTTCCTCGTATCAAAGATGTGGTAAACAGACAGACAATGAGACTTATTAATAGCTTAATGGTTCAACGTGACACACGTAGAAGAAACAAGACTCTGAAAATGAGAACCAGAAGATCTGTTGCACAGGGTTTCTTGTCATTTCCTTACTTTAATTTCATTTCTCAGAGATAGAAAGGAACTGCTGGGTATGTTTTAGGATGTGGCTACAGAATTCTGTAGATTCACTTTACATACACGTAATAAAGGCAGGCCACTGCTCTCTGAATGTTAACGCCACAGAAATCGTTTATCCACCTTACATAAGCTATTTTTATTCATAAATAATATAAAATGTTTTCAAAGAAATATATCAAAAATAATTAGAAACTTCTCAAGTATTTTGCTATCAGGATTATCTCCTAGTGATTGCTTATTCATAATAATAACAACATTGTTTCAGTGATTCTAATATGCTACAAAAGGTTGAGAATGATGAAAAGTAATATTTATTTAGTGCTTTCTGTACTCCTGTGACTATGCTTTACACAGATTCTTTGGTTATATCTCCACAACAGACTCCTGAGTAATGATTATTAAACTGATTTTATGGCCGATTAAACAGTGAAGCACAGAAAAGCTAAGAGAGGCACAGGTCAATAACTGCTGAAATAGAAATGTGAATCAAGATTTTAGTTCAGAATCCAAGCTTTTAAATATTGCCTTTTTTTTTTTGTACCAGGGATCGAACTTATCACCTCACAGTTGCAGGGCAAGTGCTTATGCCATTGAGCTAAATCCCTGGCCAATATTTCCTTTTGGAAAAATTAAAGCTAATGTTAATGAGCTAATGTTAATGTTAAAAAGAAAAATCACAGCAGTTTCTAGTAGGGAAATCCCTTAGACTAACTGGAGGTATTATATAACATCCTCCATCACAACCTGCTGTGGATACTGAGCAGCAGAAATAAGCAAAACAAAAAGGAAAAGATGATGGGCTTCTTAAATATTATACAATCTCAAGGTTAATTTCTTTGCCATCCTTGACCCACCTCAAGGTTAATTTCCAGTTTCTAATTTTCAGGGACTAAGAGTAAGTCAGCTAGCACTTGCTTTGAGGATGCAGTGGATGACACAGAGGAAAGAACCTCAAGTTTTGCAGCCATGCAGACCAGCACACCAGACCTCATTCCAGTTACAATGTGACTCGTGAATCATTAACCACTCTCAGCTCAGTATCTTCTATCTGTAAAATGGGGATCTCATTGCAAGTCAGACAGCTGTCACTTAGTGTATATACAGTGCTGCCCAGACACTGGTGTATACCAGACACTAAATAAATAGTACCTACTATCCAGTCGTCAGCACTATATGAATGAATGCCTAGGAATCTTATGTACTTTCTTTGCTACTGAAAGATACCCACAAAGCTCGGGAATAATGAATCCATACGTAGTTGGCCATCACATTACACAGTTAATCCAATAACCACAATTAGTGCCACTTGTTTCCTGGGCATGAGAATTTACTCAGAAAGCTGCCAGTGTGAATGGAGGCAGTTCCTAGATAATCCCAAGGGGGAAAGCAA